CACCATACAGATTTTATGTAACTACATACCTTCAATATTTAATTTATTTAATATAATATAACAACTTTGTATAATGGCAAACGTTTGGGAACGAACGCATCTAAATTTGACTATGTGACCCCCTCCTGGCGCCAAAGCTGGATCCGCCCTTGGTTAAATTCAGACACTATTAAAAATAAGTTAACATATAAAACACGAGAACAGTAAGTAGCTTTTGACATCATAACTAGAAAGGTCGGATTTCTCTTGAAATAGCCTGTAAAAGAATTATAACACGGTACACTTATAACGCATTTTCATATTACGCGATTTCAATCGTATAACACGAGTGTTCTCCCATATAACGCGGGGATCTCACACGAGATTATATTTCTGTACTGTGAAATTTAAAATGATTTGTAAAGCTCATAATTAATTTCGCGTACCTTTGCACATTATGTCAATTGTGTTGTTATAAAACTAAATCAAATTAATTTATTAAATTTGTGTTCTTTGTTTTTGAATTGTAAAAACCTTGCAAACAATAAACAATACAAATGTAATAGAATTATGTTCTTCTACTTAACTTACAAATATTTGCATATTAAATTTGTACATAACGCGTTATATGGGGTCAAACAAGCACGTTATGCGAGAATACTCCTACAACGCGTTTCCTATAACGCGGAACCAATCTGCCGTGTTATACGAGGATACCGGGGATTACTGTATACACTTATACAGAGATATTAACAAATACATTTTTCTTTTCTTGAAATCTCGACCTAAGACCTAAGATTAAAAGGTTTAGATTTAATCGAACACTATATCTTCAAATGGTTGCAAATATTCTACAATATATTAAAACGAATTATATGTTTAAATGGATTTCCGACCTTATCTGTAACGAGTCAAGAGCCATTGCACTAAAGCACGCTTATAAATCGGTTATCTAGAGATTCGCGGGTTACACAAACTGATGGTTTTTGTACTTTTCTTTTCGTAGTGCTCATTAGACGATAACTCAGTACATTGCGGGTTCAATATCGAAATTACTGGACAAGCAATGAAACTTAGCTTGGAAATTTTAAACTGTTTTTGTTTAAACCGTCAAAGAATACAATTGAGATGTGACATGAAAGTACCCACAATTTTTTTTTTTTACATTTGTGGGTGAACGAGCTTATGGCTCAGTTGGTATTCAGTGCTTACCAGGATCAAAAGACCGACTGCCGTCAACCACCTTGAGATAAGAGATCGAAGAGGGTAACATAAAAAAAGTTTTTTTTTAATAAAAAAATAATAAATTTCGCGGATTAGCATTCTAGGCCACCGATATATAAACATGCCTTAAATAAATTAGTTATCAACTTAAATATCACTTATAATAATAATTATACAGTAACATTTGGGAATAGTGATTATTTGTAGACATGTGATAAGCGATTTTTAAATGACAATCTGTCAACTTCGTTCCGGGGTAAAATTTAAAATACTTAAGACCGCGCGTCTTGTGTTCTATTTTTAAATGACTGAATCTCTCAACTTCGTTCCGGGGTAACATTTAAAATACTTAAGACCGCGCGTCTGGTGTTCTATTTTTAAATGACTGAATCTCTCAACTTCGTTCCGGGGTAAAATTTAAAATACTTAAGACCGCGCGTCTGGTGTTATATTTTTAAATGACTGAATCTCTCAACTTCGTTCCGGGGTAAAATTTAAAATACTTAAGACCGCGCGTCTGGTGTTATATTTTTAAATGACTGAATCCTTCAACTTCGTTCCGGGATAAAATTTTAAATACTTAAGACCGCGCGTCTGATATTCTATTTTTAAATGACTTGATCTCTCATCATCGTCCCGGGGTAAAATTTAAAATAATTAAGACCGTGCATCTGGTGTTAGATCATTAGCAGGGTCAGACCTGACGTTAAGAGATAGAAACGGCGTCTCAGTCAGTGCCTCAGAATTTCATCAGGGCGAAACGCCTTTGGCAGCTGTAGTAGGAGCAAATCCATAAGGGGTCGTTGTCCAATTTAAGCAGTCAATAGTCATCCTACTTATAATTTTGTTTCTCAAATGTTATGGCGTAAAATAATTGTTTTTGACTGTCACGAAATCTGATGACGTATGTAACACAGAATCGTAATACCAAATTTCGACCTTACGAACTCTGCGACGAGAGTCGCTTAACGCTAGCACCAAGACCGCACCCGAAGTTGACAGAGCATCACATTAAATCACAACAATATACAAATCAACTTTGAAGTCTGAATGCATAAAACCAATTTTTACAACCTGGAATGATTACAGAATATAATAATAAAAACAAATAAAAAAAAGTTATAATAAGAACGTCACTTATGTACAACAAAAACAAAAATAATAATAGTAATAATAAAAAGATTAAAGCTTCAATGATGTTTAAAAATTGTACCTTCATATCAGACCTATTCAACAAACCGTTAACCTATAAAACTAGTAAAAAAAAAAAAACAAGGAATCAATAAAAATGGCTGCCAAAAATTAGCACTCGACTAAGCTATGTACATATACATCCATTAATTTAATATTATTTCGGAAAATACTGCGCTGAATCGTGTTGCTTGAAGTGTATTTACTGCAAATTTTTTTTGGTAAATTTTTCTTAAAATACAAATCGACAGATCATTGTAACATTTGTTTAATATTAATAATGTTAAAAATCGACTAAACAACATTGAAAAGATGAGAAACGCGAATACCAATACGTTTTTCAGATCAATGTGCTCGCGACAATAAGCTGTGTTTGTTTCGTGGATTCCCTCGTTAAGTTAAGCTGGCATAACCATATTGGGTTACCATAAGAAAAGAAAATTTTTTTGGGTGCAAGTGGACAATCATTTATAATCGACTACTTTCGAGTTTTTATAGATTTGTATGAATAAATAAATGATAAATTACCTTGGAACATTCCATATCCATATTTACATATACCATATTTACACTTGGAACATCACGCACGGTCATCAGGTCCCAATTTAGGATTCCCTGTGTTATCGGCTACTAGAGAAGTAGAGACTGATAAACAAACTTATATTGCCTTTTCGCATTAAAAATATACAATTTCCCAAAATATTCGAAATTGAGTTAATATTTGGTAAACATTTGGTATCACCAGTATTTTTCTCATAAATACTGTCAAAAGAGGGTAGTTTAGTTTTTCTTTTTTTTTTTAGTTTACCTATGTTTTGACTGCTATTAACAAAATTAGTACATAATTTTATCTTACTTTAAAAGACAGATAATGTAACTGGTAAAAAATAAAAAAAATAATGTTGCAAATATGACTAATATTAAAAATATTAAACGTTAAATCTTTAAAACACTCTCCTGTAAAATTAGTAAATTTTGAGATTATACAGTTTTAATGCGAGAAGACGATATATGTTTAAATATACAGATGAATAGATAGTAAGCTACCAGACAGAGCAAATAAATGTTCAGCACAAAAAAATTTTGCTCTATGCAAAAATCGAACCCACGACCCTTGGCGCAATAGTCAGGAACGCTAATCGCTGCACCATAGTCAGTCTTGAAATGTTTATTATAAATGTATATAAAGGAATTTGTGCATGTATATATATGTATGTATGTGTGTGTGTGTTTATACATACGAGTATATTTCAATTGATTGGTAAACCGCGTGTAATTTGTTTCCAAATGATTCTTTCCATCTGATGGTTGTCTGGAAGAGATCGCTCTTAGCGATAAGACCTCCAATTGTACTTTTTTTGTATTTAATGTTTCGCATTGTTTTTTTTTGTACATTAAAGAATACTCTCTCTCTCTCTTTAGTACGATGGTAGATTCTGCGAAGCACTGCTCTTGTTAGAGCTAGTGTTAGCAAATTCTCTCAGGTTGAGCCCGTGAGCTCACCTACCCGTCTTGGCGTAGTCTCTTAGACTACCGGCGAATAGGTAGGAAAAAATCATCTATTTACTCATCTTGGGTAAGTATGAGATATATTGTCTCGGCGAGGATCGAATGAAAAGACAATGTGTTGACTTCGACTCTTCAAGATTTTGTTTCACGTAGAAATCCCTCATAAATGTGAATTTGGGAAACCTTAAAACGCTGGAGGATTCGGAATCTCACACCGGGCGTCATACCGTGCAAGGTACTCATACAGACAAAGGCTAGCTTACTTAATAGGAGCTTTTATGGTCGCAGCTTACTGTCGCGAGACGTATTGCAATTAAATTATTCAATACTTATTCGAGATTAGGTAATATCAATTTAGAAAGAAGAAAAGACAAAAAAAAACATCGCAACATGATGACTGTTACCACTTAAAAAATATTTAATTTAAAGTACAAAATTATTTCACGCATACTTATTCTTTTAATGGCAATTAATTGGCTTCTTGCGACGCCATTGTTGCCAGTATCGAAGTTAATAAAAATCTTTAACTATTTATTATTACGAATACTTTAAAATGGAATATGGAGCGGAATTTATTTTTATTTAATATATTTGAAATTGAAATCCGTTGGAATGAAATTAGTTGAAATAGCGCCCTAGTGAAAATTGTGGAAGCTTATCGAGACTTAAATGAGCTTTTTTTAAGAACCCCACAAGTCACGTCCAGCGACTTTATATCTTCCCACACTCGTGCACTTTCACAGATGCTTAAAGGTAAATGAACAAGTTATTAAAAAAAAAAAAACACTAAATTATTATAACAAATTCGCACAAATTCGCTCTTAGCGTTCCCGCCAAAAGAGCCGTCAAAATACTTCAACAGTTAATACACAGTAATAGACAATCAGCACAGATAACACAAAAACATCGACTCGCCTGACCGGAACATTTATTGATACGACTTATTTTTTCTTATTGCTTAGATGGGTGGACGAGCTCACAGCACACTTGGCGTTAAGAGCTTACTGGAGTCCATAGACATCTACAACGTAAATACCACCACCCACCTTGAGATATGATTTCGGTCTCAGTATAGTTACAACGACTGCTCCGCCCATCAAACCGAAACGCATTACTGCTTCGGGGCAGACATAGGCAGGGCGGTGGTACCTACCCGTGCGGACTCACAAGACGTCCTACCACCAGTAAAACGACTAAAACTAGCGATACATTGATGTTCGGACTTACGATTATCCGTTTGCCTATATTATCACAGTAAAACAAAAACAAAAACAAGCACGTGCCAGCACGAGATTCGATTCAGTCATCAATCTTCATGTTCATGACCATTACTAACCGACTTTTAATATTAATGGAGGAGTTTATCGATTGGAGGTGTATGGTTTTTTTTCCGACATCCTTTTGTAATCAGACCTTCAGAAGTCTTAGCTGCCTTGTAATCCAAAAGACCCTTCCTATAAAAAGGGATATTGACGGTTTTCTAAAATTGCCAAATTAAACCGACTCCTCATACAGTCCGACTAAATGAAGACGACTGGTCATATAATCGGACTAAATGAAAACAATTGGTCATATAATACGACTAAACGAAGCCGACGCGTCGTATAATCCCACTAAATTAATATGACTCGTCATATAATCCGACTAAATTAATACAACTCAATATATAATCCGACTAAATTAACACGACTCGTTATATAATCCGAATAAATTATTACGACTCGTCATATAATCCGACTAAATGAAGACGACGCGTCATATAATCCGACCAAATTATGACGACTCGTCATATAATCCGACTAAATTAAAACGACTGATCATATAGTCCGACTAAATGAAGGCGTCGATGATCTCAGACCTCACTTAAGACATTAGCTCGTTCAATGGGTGAAACGACATTCGTGTTACACTCCGAGCATTTAACACTCAACCGAAGACACGTACGTAGAGCAACTACAGGGTGTTCCCTAACATGACGCTGTCGTCGTACAGGCTCAGTCTGTTGGCGCTGTCCCGGCCCTTCTGAAGGGCTCGGTCGCGCCTGGCCTTGCGCAGGGCCACGGGAAGGTCGCCGGGGGTCTTGACTCGGCCCGCCGGCTTCACTAGTTTAACGTCGCTCACCGTGCTGAAGATGTCGCTTACCTGTCAACAAGAACGACCAATCATTACGACCAAGTTTTTCAAATTAAAATTTTGAACATGATATTAAGAGATTTGAGAAGAAAATAAAACGTAATTAATAGCACTTTTACGGTTTAATTTCGTGTTTTTATTATTATTATTATGTACTATTATTTATTGTAAGTATTTAGATTTAAATGATGATAAAAAAAACGCGAGAGCAAATCGTTAAAGTAATTTTAATCATCATCATCAGCCTGCGGCAGTCCACTGCTGGACATAGGCCTCCCCCAAAGCTCGCCACTGAACCCGATCTTCGGTTCTACGCATCCAGTTACTGCCAGCTGCCTTGCGCAGGTCGTCGCTCCATCTAGCAGGAGGGCGTCCCACACTACGTTTGCCGGTTCGCGGTCTCCACTCCAGAACACGTCTACCCCAACGNAACCCGATCTTCGGTTCTACGCATCCAGTTACTGCCAGCTGCCTTGCGCAGGTCGTCGCTCCATCTAGCAGGAGGGCGTCCCACACTACGTTTGCCGGTTCGCGGTCTCCACTCCAGAACACGTCTACCCCAACGGTTATCGGTTCTGCGACATATGTGACCAGCCCACTGCCACTTCAGCTTACTAACTCTGCGAGCTATATCGATCATTTTGGTTTTTGCCCGAATGACCTCATTGCGTATTCGGTCTCGCAATGACAAACCGAGCATAGCTCGCTCCATAGCTCGCTGAGTAACTTTAATGTAATTTATTATTATTAAGTAATTTTAATGATGTCTATGATCCGAGGAAGTACTATTTTCTTTTTATTGGCTTTGTAGTCAGACGAGCATACGGTCCACCCGATGGTGAGTGTTTACCGTCGCCCACGGACTTCAGCAATGCCAGGGGCAGAGCCAAGCCGCTGTCTACTAAGCTAGAGATCAGAACGTAGATGAAAGCTTTTTTTTATGATTGAAAGATTACTGGTGGCCCGGAGGCCTTTCCAGTTTCACCAGGACAGGTGGGCGAGCAAAGGCTCAGCCAGGAGGGGTGGGACTTGATAACAGCTACCCGAGCGCCTCTAAAGGAGACCTAACAACTCAAGAGCAACTGCTTCGCGAATGAATCTACCACCGGATCGGAATCGCGACCCGCTGAGAAGATCCGGCGAAAAACTCAGCGGGCTGATGCATGGGTTAGGTTGCACGTCGACCTCTTTCTCGAGTTCGACGAGTACGGTTACCGGGGTTCCTAAGCCTGCTCCTAGTGTTAGAGCTAAAGGCGTCTAATGCAAAGGTTATTGGATCTGATGGATCCGTAAGGACGTGTCTAGGGCAGATGAAAGTTGTATGTGTGGTGGGGCGCTTCTTTACTGGTGGTAGGACCTCTTGTAAGTCCGCATGGGTAGGTACCACCACTCTACCTATTTCTGCCGTGAAGCAGTGACGCGTTTCGGTTTGAAGGGCGCGGCGGCCGTTGTAACTATACTGACACCTTAGAACTTATATCTCTAGGTGGGTGGCGGTATTTACGTTATAGATAGGCTCCGGTAACCATTGACCACCAGGTGGGATGTGAGTCCACCCAGCTAAGTATTAAAAACTAAGAAACCTGCTCGAGCGAGCGCTGGCGGCGCACGGTGGGCTTGCGGGGCGCGGGGGCGGCGGCGTTGGGGGGGGCGGGCAGGTAGGCGGGGTTGTCTCCGCTGTAGCCATTCGCTACGTTCTCCTTGTCGTTGGGGTCGCTGACCTCGTTGTCGAAGTTCGAGTAGCGGTTGTGGTTCTTGTTGAAGGTCACCGTTTTCTTTTGGCTCTCCTTCAGCACGTCGTTCTGGAATAATGATGGCGGACGTGAGGCTTGAGGTCGAACATTCAATCGCACTAGCGGTTATGCCCCTCTTAAGACCGGAATATTAAGAGTGTCAATTAGAGAAAATAAAACAAAAAAATTATTTAATTGTGTAACTGTATACATCGAATTAACTGTAAAATCCTGCTTCGGAAATAACAATTGATCTATATATAAAAAAAAAGTTGTGACAAAGAAGTCTCCGTCGTCTCTGTTCTTTGAAATTTTGGTAAATTAGTTCACGCAAGTCCGTTCAATGTTATGTATGTTTTACAAAAGCATTTTTTTTTCATCTTTACTAGATAGTGATTGATATTTAGCATGTCCTTTTTTTCCTACTTTAGCTGAGAGCCTTGAGAGGCTATTTCAGCGTAACCTCAACTAGTAGGTGAACTCACGGGACTCAAACCTGACGACGTTGCTAACACGAACCCTAGCAAGAGCCATGCTTCATAGAATCTACGACCGGATCAGAAACGCGACCCACTGAGAAGATCCGGCGAGAAACTCAGTGGGCTGTGTCTATGGGTTAATTCGCTCATCGAGGCCTTCGTCGCAAGCGACGGGTTCGACGACAACGATGACGTCGACTGCTTTCCATTCTGTCCGCAGGATCGGGAATGTAGTTACCGGCGGCCACGATGAGAGGGTTCTCGTGTCGTGCCGCTTTGTCGAAGTGGCGCAGCGACTCCGACTGCAGATACTTACGATGAAGGAATAAAATCGTGTAATAAAAATGAAACCCGCAAAATTATAAATTTTGTAATTAATGGTGGTAGGACCTCTTGTGAGTCCGCGCGGGTAGGTACCATCACCCCGCCTATTTCTGCCGTGAAGCAGTAATGCGTTTCGGTTTGAAGGGCGGGGCAACCGTTGTAACTATACTGAGACCTTAGAACTTATATCTCAAGGTGGGTGGCGCATTTACGTTGTAGATGTCTATGGGCTCCAGTACCCACTTAACACCAGGTGGGCTGTGAGCTCGTCCTCCCATCGAAGCAAAAAAAAAAGAAAATTGGCTGACGGTGGTCTATGAACGCACGAGTCGCTCACCTGGTACTTGGGGTCCTTGCTGACAGTCTGCATCGTGATCCTCGAGCCCCCGTTCTCGGACAACAGTAGCAGCTGCTCGTCTTCACTTCCAGAACAATCCGAGTTCAACTCGAAGGGACTGGCCGCTGGGTTCCCACCCTCTATGAACTGCAACTCCAAATTGATACTGGCCCTGGATGAGCTGTTAGAGCCGGGCTTGTTGTCGCGGCTCAGTCGATTCTTGAGCGTCCAATCCCCGGATTCAGAGTTGTTCCTGTAAACGCTCTGGGATGAGGCGGAGGTCCCTACAGACTGTTTCAAACTCTCTGAACTGCTACCGTTCTTGCTCTTGATACCGCTGACGTCCGGTTGGACTTTCGGCACGATGACCGCGTATATGTGACTGTCGTTGTGCGAGGGTATCTCCTTGAAGGTCGCGTCCGCCATCATGTTAGGGGACAGGGTTCGATTTGGCGGCGAGAGGCAGGGCGCTTCGTATATAAGATTCGGGTCTTGGCTCAGGACCAAGTTGCTGGGTCTGTTGTAGTTGTTCTTGTCGTTAACTACGGATATCCTCGTTCTCTGGCCTTCCGGTGCGAGCTTCACTTCCGTATCCATTTTGTTCTTGTTGAACTTCTCGAAGAACTTCCTGATGCCCCATCCGGTTTTCTCGGTTCTTGTCTCCTGCAGTAAATTGGTTTGCTTCGGTCCCCGGTCGACGTCGTGGTGGCTCACGTCGTTCTGAACGTAATCTAGCGGGCGCTGGTGTGACCTGGTCACGTTCGGCCCCGAATTTTCCGGTACGGCAACCCTGGGCGAGCCCCTGGCCACAGACAAGCAATTGTCGTCTATGTTCTCGAGTCGGATGTCGTCGCTCGGGTCGGATATGTCCTTCAGGCTCTTGTGTATGAGCGTCACGTATTGCTGCGTGCTCGTGTGCGTGTTGCGTTCGATGCACGCGTTGCGGCCCATGTGCGGGTGCGGGTAGAGCAGCGGGGTCGTGACGTCACAACCGTGACGTAACGCCGTGCAGTTCGAGTTCTTGTCCTGATCGGCTGGCGAGGGCGGGCTCGTCTCTGTTCACACACAAACAAACATACAAGCACGTTCGCTGTATAGGGTGAATTACTATTCGGTTTAAGCGTCTTCTAGGGTCATATCGAGTTATATACATATTCGGAATCAGCGAATTTTTCTCAATCGATTCGATGTTTTTAATTGAATTTCAGTTAAGATATCGATATCGATGATTGTCTGTGCGTTACTAATCAGTCGGGAGTCCCTAGTAACGCTGTCGATGTATGGTGCTCATCTATACTATATAATAATATTATAAAGAGGAAAGATTTGTTTGTTTGTTTGTATTGAACAGGCTCCGAAACTACTGAACCGATTTGAAAAATTCGATCACTGTTTAGAAGCTACATTATTCCCGAGTGACATAGGCTATAATCTTTTTTGAAAAAAAAAAAAAAAATTAGTATCCTTACTAAAACTCCAATAATGTAAACCAAAGTGTAAAAAAATTACCTAAAATATTCTTTACATCGCGTGCCCTGCGAAAACTATTAATGATAGAATAAAATAACGTACTACGACTTTGTAGAACACATTAGTATTTACAAAAAGTGTCGCGACAGCATATGTCGTAACTATTATAGTTATGCCGCAAATTAGTGTTGCCAATAATTCGCTTAAGCCAAATGGCCCTTCACTCCTCGATATGCAGAAGGTACTTGGTTGCACATTGTGTCGATTCTATACATACAAATTCACACACACAAACACACAAACGTACGTACTACATTTTTACAGATCGCCCTTTCTGGTGAACTTATTTTACCTGGTGACTTAGCACTGAACCACTGACTTTTATTAGAGGTGAGATGCGTGTCTCATCATTATTATGTTTAAGGCGATATCCGGCCCCAACATCACGCAGCAATTGAGATATTGGATTAAGTGCGAGGCAGAACCACAGGGGGCTCAAGGAGTCACCTTGATATATACCTTTTTTTATAGCAATTTCTCTAGTTGCAATGTTGTGAAGATGTAATGTAGTTTTATTATTATTATTATTATTATTATCTACCCGAATTCGGATGCAAGTTGTTATCGTGTATCAGAGGTCCCTGGGCTTGCAGTATCTGCTTCAGTTCGGCCATGCGTTCCTCAACGCACACCGCGGTCAACCTAAAAAGGACGAATCATAATAATCCTTCGAGATCTCTGCAGCGTTTTTTTTTTATTGCTTAGATGTGTGGAAGAGCTTACAGCCCACCTGGTGTTAAGTGGTTACTGGAGCCCATAGACATCTAACACGTAAATGCGCCACGCACCTTGAGATATAAGTTCTAAGGTCTCAGTATAGTTACAACGACTACCCCGCCCTTCAAACCGAAACATATTACTGCTTCACGGCAGAAATAGGCGGGGTGGTGGTGCCTACCCGTGCGGACTCACAAGAGGTCCTGCCACCAGTAGAAATGTAAGTGATTGAGGCGATTACCAATCACAGGTGGTAGGGCTTGGTAGGATCTCACACGGGTAGGCACCATAATCCTGATTGCTTCTACCGCGAAGCAGTGACGCACACCGGTTTAAAGAGTGAGCCACTCGTTCTAATGAGATTTCGAACTTTTCGAGATCTCTACGAGCTTTTGTGGCTTTTTTGAAGTGAAAACTTCTTTAGAATCGTTGTGATTTCAAACCGGATGCAACGGAAAAAACGACAGGTAAGAGACACAAATACAAAAATGTGTGGGATGAAGCCAGCAAAGAATGAGACAGAAATATACATACTATTTAATACAGCGCCATCTGTGAGAGTATTTAATATTAACGTGTGTATGAAAGCTCTTGTAGTGAATTTTAATTTAGGATTATACGTGAAATTAAAATATCAATTCACAGAGGGCGCTACCTTACAATTATTTACTAATGACAAAATTTTACATATACTTAAGACGTTTAGGATAATTGTATTTTAATTTTGGAAGGTTTCACTTCTACCACGTGTGAATTGCACACATGTTTTTTTAACTTGCAACGGTTCATGTTCAATTTCTAATAAAGAACACAGACATTTATTGTGACAGTGAAAGAGAAAGAGATGGCGTATACTTTATTGCAAACTAAAACACACATAAATGTAAAATAATCAACAGACAGCTATAATTGTTTAATAGGCGGTACTTATCGCTAAAAGAGATCTCTTCTAGATAAGCTTTTTTATTTAGAAAAAAAAAATATCTGAAAAAGATACGTCACTTGTGATATGGTGTACTGTTGTTAACAAAATAATATTGAAAAATAATTCTAGAATTACTTATCCGGGTGGATAATAGGGTATTCCCTGATATCGGTATTATTACGTGTATCGATATATAGTATAAAGCCATATAGGTAGCCGGTGAAATGTTATTGAGGTTTCTAATTTGACGTATTATGTATTATCTTTGTGAATGCGTGCGACAAAGGGAATTAAATGACTGGAAGTGGCCAGATTTTATAAAAACTTGGAAATTTTCTGTTGATGTTGATAAACGGGAATGTGTGCTACAAGAGAATTAAATGACTGGAAGTGGTTAGATTTAATTAAAACTTGGAAATTTTCTGTTGATATTGATAAATAGGAACGTGTGTGACAAGGGAATTAAATGACTAGAAGTGGTTAGATTTAATTAAAACTTGGAAATTTTCTGTTGATGTTGATAAATGGGAACATCTGCGATAGCGGAATTACATGACTGGAAGTGGCCAGATTTAATTAAGCTTGGAAACTTTCTGTTGATGTTGATAAATGGGAATGTCTGCGACAAGGGAATTAAATGACTGGAAGTGGCCAGATTTAATTAAAACTTGGAAATTCTCTGTTAATGTTAATAAATGGGAACGTCTGCGACAAGGGAATTAAATGACTGGAAGTGGTTAGATTTAATTACAACTTGGAAATTTTCTGTTGATGTTGATAAATGGGAATGTGTGCTACAAGGGAATTAAATGACTGGAAGTGGTTAGATTTAATTAAAACTTGGAAAGCTTCTGTTGATGTTGATAAATGGGAATGTGTGCTACAAGGGAATTAAATGACTGGAAGTGGCCAGATATATAATTAAAACTTTAAAATTTTCTGTTGATGTTGATAAATTGGAACGTGTGCCATAAGGAATATATTGACTGGAAGTGGCCAGATATATAAATAAAACTTGAAAATTTTCTGTTGATGTTGATAAATTGGAACGTGTGCCACAAGGAAATTAAATGACTGGAAGTGGCCAGATATATAATTAAAACTTGAAAATTTTCTGTTGATGTTGATAAATTGGAACGTCTGCGACAAGGGAATTAAATGACTGGAAGTGGTTAAATTTAATTAAAACTTGAAAATTTTCTGTTGATGTTGATAAATGGGACCGTGTGCGACAAGGGAGTTAAATGACTGGAAGTGGCCAGATTTCATTAAAACTTGAAAATTTTCTATCTATGTTGATAAATGGAAATGTCTGCGACAAGGGAGTTAAATGACTGGAAGTGGCCAGATTTCATTAAAACTTGAAAATTTTCTATCTATGTTGATAAATGGAAATGTCTGCGACAAGGGAATTAAATGACTGGAAGTGGTTAGATTTAATTAAAACTTGGAAATTTTTTGTCGATCTTGCTGAGAGGGTTCTTTAAGATTATGCCTTACGTTAAACTTTGAAATCTATGCCGATATGAATAGAAGACAGTGTGAGGTGTGTCTGACCTGGCCTCTGCGTCGTGGTCGCAACACTCGTCGCACGTGTCGGCGGCCGTGCACTGCGCGAGCCCCGGCCCGCGCGGCACTGGAGGCCGGGCCTTCTTGCGGGACACCAGCGTCTGCGTGCGACACACACGGCTGTACTAGTCGGGTCAACGAACTATTTTCAACAACGAACTATCGTCACGCATACGACTGTTATAAGCGGGTCAACGAACTGTTGCACGCCCGCCATACATACGACTGTTATAAGCGGGTGAACGAAGTGTTGCACGCTTGTCACACATACATATGTACTACCCGGGTCAACGAACTGTTGCACGCCCGCCACAGATACGACTGTTATACCCGCGTCAGCAAGCTATTGCATGCTCGCCACACAAACATCTGTTCTACCGGGGTCAACGAACTGTTGCACGCTCGCCACACACACCTCTATACTGCCCGGGTCAACGAACTGTTGCAACGCTCGCCACGCATACATATGTACTACCAAGGTCAACGAACTGTTTCACGCCCGCCACACGAACGATTGTTATACCCCGGTCAGCAAACCTGTATCACGCTCGCCACACATACATCTGTACTATCCGGGTCAACGCACTGTTGTACGCCCGCCACACAAACATCTGTACTACCCAGGTCAACGAACTGTTGTATGCTCGCCACACAGACATCTGTACTACCCGGGTCAACGAGCTGTTGCACGCCCGCCACACATACATCTGTACTACCCGGGTCAACGAGCTGTTGCACGCCCGCCACACATACATCTGTACTACCCGGATCAACGAGCTGTTTCACGCCCGCCATACAAACGACTGTTATACCCGGGTCAGCAAACTGTTGCACGCCCGCCATACATACGACTGTTATACCCAGGTTATCGATCTATTGCACGCTTTCCTCACACACGACTGTTATTACAGGTCCAACGGATTGTTGCACGCTGGTTACATAAACAGCTGCTACACCCGGGTCGACAAACGGTTGCATGCCCGCCACACACACGAGTACATTTACCCGGGTCAACGAATTCTTGCACGCCCGCTACACTACACAGATATTTATGGTTTTACATTGCTTTGAGAGTTTACTGCATAAGGGCACATTATCCGCACATGGTAGCCTTAACGTTGATATCAACGGAATCATTCCCAACACCAAGGCCACAATATTCTCAAGCCCATCAGCAGTGATGTTTCCTTCCCAGGGTCATTATATCGACGCTTGAAAGGCAAACGTGACTAAGCGACAATGCGTGAACTTTACAGTAGACTAATTTAAAGTTGAAATACCTGAAGAAAATTCTATTTTAACGAATCTAGCTGTAGGATTGAAATGATTTTAATAGACCTAGAAATATATTTTATTTGCGCATCGAATATGGTTATGGCCTATCATTTATGTATAAAGCAGTTATTGTCGCTTAGTCACGTTTGCCTTTCAAGCGTCGATATTAGCTCCCCTTAATTATCTCTTTTAATGAATGTAGGACACATTGAAAGCTCGTACTCAACTCATCCGTTAATAAAATAAAATAAAAAATAAACTTAAAACAAACAAAAGGAATCCGTCCGACGGGGGATACATCAAAGAAAAAATAAAATTGTTATTTTTATTTAATTCCGAGCATTTTCATATTTATCTACATTTTAAACCTTCTCTGGACTTTCACAAATAATTCAAGACCAAAATTAACCAAATCAGTCCAGCCGTTCTCGAGTTTTAGCGAGACTAACGAACAGCAATTCATTTTTATGTATAAGAAGATATAATTATTATTATTTTTATTGCTTGGATGGGTGGACGAGCTCACAGCCCACCTGGTGTTAAGTGGTTACTGGGGCCCATAGACATGTACAACGTAAATGTGCCACCCATCTTGAGATATAAGTTATAAGGCCTCATGTTTAGTAACAACGGCTGCCCCGCCCTTCAAACCGAAACGCATTACTGCTTCACGGCAGAAATAGGCGAGGCGGTGGTACCTACCCGCGCGTATAGATAGATAGATATATATCTCCAGCTCCTGTCTCGAATTCGCTTGAGTTAAGAGTCTACATGCCTTTTAACTATCACACCAATTGTTCAAAGACCCAAAGATTGATTAGGTCCAAAACTTACCTGCATGTGATGCAGCGTGGGATTGGCCGGCAGCCCCAGATGCTGGTAGGGCAGCATGTAGCAGGGCGTGGGCCCGCTGTGGGCCGGGGCGGTTCTCCACAGCAGCTCCCAGAGGACGAGCCCGAGGGCGTACACGTCGACGGCGCACAAGGCCGCCCGGGCTCCGCTGAGGTCCAGCGCGCCTTCTAGGGCTTCGGGCGCGAGATATCGGAGGGTACCGGCCTGCCACATATCGTCCATCAGGGTAACTTAAGCTTTCCGTTTAACATTAGCCCACTTACTCATTTTTTACATAATATCTATTTATAATTTCCAAACGGGATACATGTTACCATAGAATTTGAAATTTTTAAATATGAGGATTATTATTGAACGAAGAAAGCGCGCCAAAATTTGAGTAATGCGTTTCGGTTTGAAGGGTGGGGCAGCCGTTGTAACTATACTGAGACCATAGAACATATCTCGAGGTGGGTGGCGCATTTACGTTGTAGATGTCTATGGGCTCCAGTAACCACTTAACATCAGGTGAGTCGTGAGCTTATCCATCTACCTAAGCAATAAAAAAACTAATTAAAGAAATAACTTCCAGTCGCGCGTCGGAACTGTACATTATGGTAAATCACCCTTATTGAGCATCACCTCACATACCTCAGTGATCCTGTTTGGAGCTGTGTGCTCTCTCCTGGGCTGCAAGACTTGGGCCAGACCCAGGTCGGCGAGTCTGGCGGTGCCGTTGCTCGCTATGAGCACGTTGTTGCTGTTCACGTCGCGATGGACCACGCAAGGTTTGTTCCCGACTAAGGACCAAAAGATCGGGCCAAAATTTCAAAGACAATTCTGAACGGGCAATAATCGAAGTCTCGGTTTCTGGTGAGATTCCCGGTGTATTAGGATCACGAAGCGAACTAGGCATGTTCGTGTCAGCCGACTGATAGCCAAACTGGGTTTTTTGTTAACAGATCCCTTTGCAATTGAATACGCAAAAAAACGTACGTGTCTACAGGAATATTCCTTCCAATCTGTTTTTTTTTTAAATACGCTTTTATTAGCTTCGGACGTATGTATGTTTATAACGGAATCTTTGAACATGATTTTGACCCCCTCAAAGCGTCGGATTAACTCGAAATTTGGTATACTTATAAAGGACTGATGACAATTCAATACAAAAAAAAAATGGAAAAAAAATATTGCAAAAATTTAAATTCAAGTAAAAAATGAAAAATAAATAATAGTTTAAAAAACTAACAAAATACGCTTTTATAGAAAATCTAACTAAAAAATAGAAAATAAATTTTAATAAATTTAAATTAAAAACAGTGTAAGAAAAAATGATTTTATTGTAAAAAAAAAAGCGTGGGGTGTATGGCATCAGTAGTTATAAATATTTTATGAACAGATATGAGTAGAAGGGTTATTTTAATAATATCCTGAAAAGCACCCTATACTATAAAAGCGTATTTTGTTAGTTTTCTAAACTATTATTTATTTTCAATATCAACTGCCTGATATACGGTTCGATTAAAGGTTTTACAATTATTATTTATTTATAATCAGTTCGAACTCCTTTAAACAGTTTTTCACTTTAATTTAAGTGACGATTCACTGGTTTTACTGGTGGTAGGACCTCTTGTGAGTCCGCGCGGGTGGGTACCACCACCCTGCCTATTTCTGCCGTGAAGCAGTAATGCGTTTCGGTTTGAAGGGTGGGGCAGCCGTCGTTACTATACTTGAGACCTTAGAACTTGTATCTCAAGGTGGGTGGCGCATTTACCTTGTGGATGTCTATGGGCTCCAGTAACCACTTAACATCAGGTGGGCTGTGAGCTCGTCCACCCATCTAAGCAATAAAAAAATAAAAAAGATTACAGGAGAATCATATTTTTTTTTTTGGAAAAAATATCATAACATAAAGAACTTCAGCTAACTTCAGCTATTTGAATTGGGTAAACTTAACTATATTCTGTAAGTCATGTCGCGATTTACTGAAATTTTATATAATTTGTAACCTATTTTATTAATAATTTCGGAACTAACTATAAACGCCGCATTTAAACACCCTTTATTACAACTATACAGGGTGTTTGTTACACGAAATCGTTTTTACTTACAACACTTACTTGGTGTATGTAGGTGTGCCAGTGCGGCGGCTATCCCGTGAGCCAGAGTAGCGAACTCCAACCAGCTTAACGTCTGAGCTTGAAGCTTCGCCCTCAAAGTTCCCACACAAAGCTCTAGAACGACTAGATGCTCCCTCCCGCCACCCTCAGTCAGAGTGGGTCTTGTTTCACTGCCTGAATTTTAAACAATAACATCGAATAATCCTTACGTTAATATAGAAGGGTAAATATAAAAAAAAAAACTATGCGTCTAATAAATCGACAAAGAAAAAAAGCTAATTAAGATTTTCTCCATAGTTTTTCAAATGATTCTCTTATAATAGCAACTAGCGACCCGCCCTCGCTTCGCTTCGGAAACATTAAAACACACATGAAATCAAAAAAAAAAAAAAAAAAAATTAAAAAAAGTAGCCTGTGTTCATCAGGGACAATATCGGCTTCTATTGGAAAAAGAATTTTTCAAATCGGTCCAGTAGTTTCGGAGCCTATTCGAAACAAACAAACAAACAAATCTTTCCTCTTTATAATATTAGTATAGATATGCGAGTCTACTGTTCTAAAGACAAAAGAGAACATTTCATAATTAAAAAAAACAAAAATAATCTAAGCCTTGTGATATCTGTAATTAAGGTCGAATTTTGAACGCAGACGAACTTAAGACACTATAGATGACAGATTCTTTGAATATTCAATCCGACAAATCTGGTTTTTCATGAAGACTGTAATTAGAAAATAAAATCAACCACACGGAGCTTTAAAATATATCTGAATTGTTTCTTAAATGGTGTCTTCTAGTAGTAGTTTTATTTATCCAAATGGAAAGGCAAAGGTGTCGTACCATACAGCCTAATCTTTTATACATATTTTTTTATTTTATGAAATATGATACTATGAAATGAAATGAAGTTGATTAATAATATGAAACATGACATGATATGAATTGAAATGAGATGAAATGATATAATATGGGATACTTTTATGCAAAATGATAATATGAAGTGAAATGAAATGAAGATGATTAATTTGAGACATCAATCAACTGGGATGAAATTAAATGAAATGAATTGAGATGATATGGGATGAAATATAATCTCAGTAAAATGGTGGTCATTTACTGAGATTTTTTCAGTNTAAAGACAAAAGAGAACATTTCATAATTAAAAAAAACAAAAATAATCTAAGCCTTGTGATATCTGTAATTAAGGTCGAATTTTGAACGCAGACGAACTTAAGACACTATAGATGACAGATTCTTTGAATATTCAATCCGACAAATCTGGTTTTTCATGAAGACTGTAATTAGAAAATAAAATCAACCACACGGAGCTTTAAAATATATCTGAATTGTTTCTTAAATGGTGTCTTCTAGTAGTAGTTTTATTTATCCAAATGGAAAGGCAAAGGTGTCGTACCATACAGCCTAATCTTTTATACATATTTTTTTATTTTATGAAATATGATACTATGAAATGAAATGAAGTTGATTAATAATATGAAACATGACATGATATGAATTGAAATGAGATGAAATGATATAATATGGGATACTTTTATGCAAAATGATAATATGAAGTGAAATGAAATGAAGATGATTAATTTGAGACATCAATCAACTGGGATGAAATTAAATGAAATGAATTGAGATGATATGGGATGAAATATAATCTCAGTAAAATGGTGGTCATTTACTGAGATTTTTTCAGTAGACTTTTTGGAGGATCCCGAGAAGTTACGTCCAGCGGCTTTGTTTCATTTTCCCACATTCGTGCACTTTCGCAGACATTAAATAGTTAATAAACCACCGTTATTACACATTTATTATTTCACATTTAAACTTGAAGAAACACTAAATAAACAAAATAAAATAAATCACACAACTTCACTCCTCGCGTTCCCGCCAAAAAGTCTGGTGTCTTCTTATTTGGTGGCTGTTTAGTCGGTGGGCCGTTGCCTCTCTAAAGCAATAAAAAGCCACAAGGCCTAAGGGGTACTACTCACCGTAATATCTGAGTAGATTTGGATGAGACAGGTGAGGTAACGCGTATATAGCCGTCTCTTTCTGCCAGGCGCTAGAGCTGGAATACAGTTTGACAGCAACTGGCGTTGAGCCCAATGAACCGCGCCACACTGAACCGAATTTACCTTGACCTAAACATAAAAACAAAATGTGTGCAATTCACACGTGGTAGAAGTGAAACCTTCCAAAATTAAAATACAATTATCCTAAACGTCTTAAGTATATGTAAAATTTTGTCATTAGTAAATAATTTTAAGGTGTGAGCGCCCTCTGTGAATTGATATTTTAATTTCACGTATAATCCTAAATTAAAATTCACTACAAGAGCTTTCATACACACGTTAGTATTAAAAAATCTCACAGATGGCGCTGTATTAAATAGTATGTATATTTCTGTCTCATTCATCCTACACATTTTTGTATTTGTGTCTCTTACCTGTCGTTTTTTCCGTTGCATCCGGTNATTAAAATTCACTACAAGAGCTTTCATACACACGTTAGTATTAAAAAATCTCACAGATGGCGCTGTATTAAATAGTATGTATATTTCTGTCTCGTTCTTTGCTGGCTTCATCCTACACATTTTTGTATTTGTGTCTCTTACCTGTCGTTTTTTCCGTTGCATCCGGTTTGAAATCACAACGATTCTAAAGAAGTTTTCACTTCAAAAACAACACAGAGTTTATTAAGTGACGATGGTGACAAACTGACCATTTGATAGGCGTGTGGTTTGTTATCGCTTTCTCGGGATATTTTCGCTCCGAATATAAAAAACTCAAACACACAATTTCCTATAATGTGTACAATATTATAATCTCTATATATATAAAAATGAATTGCTGTTCGTTAGTCTCGCTAAAACTCGAGAACTGAGCCGATTTGCCTAATTTTGGTCTTGAATTATTTGTGTGGAAGTCCAGAGAAGTTTTAAAAGGTAGACAAATATGAAAATGCTCGGATTGAAATAAAAATAACAATTTTGTTTTTTCTTTGATGTACAAAACCCCCCCCCCCCCCGGCCCCCCGTTGGTCTTTTATTTATCGATCGGGTCAGCGAGTATAAACTAAAAACAGTGAAGAACGCTAGGCACTATAATATACAAATTAAAACTAAAATTACAATAAACTTAAATCGACGCGCGCGAATCTCGTCGCATGACGTCACGGGACACCTGCGCGTTCGGGAACTCCGATCGCATCCGATGACGCCCGAGTGTGACCCAGTATTGCACGCTACAGGCGCATAACAACGTTACATTCGGTCGAGGTGTTTGTTTGTCATGGTTTTATCAAATTGTTACAGTTGCAACAATTGATCCGGGCGTTGTGCTGGTGTTAAGTGTGTACCGGAGCCCATAGACATCTACAACGTAAATTCCGCTACCCACCCCTTGAGATATGAGTTCTACGGTCTCAGTATAGTTACAGCGGCTGCCCCGTCCTTCAAACCAAAACGCATTATTGCTTCACGGCAGAAATAGGCGGGGTGGTGGTACCTACCCGTGCGGACTCACAAGAGGTCCTACCTCCAGTAAAAACTAAATTAAACAGCTGTCCTATTGCAAAATTGTATGGACTATTGCAAAATTTCATTCTCAAATGTTTTTCAGGAAAATGGCATTAATTAAGATTGAAAAACAATAAAAAATGGAAGCAGATTATTTCTAGCTAATCTAAAAAAAAACTACTACTGTTTCTCTTTTTTAATTCGCAATATGACTTTGTTTTTTTAATAATAATAATAAAAGTTTGAGAGCCTCTGGATTATTAAGTCCAAACGGGATAAATCTTTAACAATGTCAAACTCACCTATATGCTCGATAAGCGTCAGATTGTCGACACACAGTAGTCCCGTGGACAGCGAATCGGGGCAGTTGCCCATTATATCACCTGCAAAGAATTTGTAGGACTTAATTGGGCTGTCACCACTACGACAAAGCGGCACGACACGAGAACCCTCTCATCGTGGCCGCCGGTAACTACATTCCCGATCCTGCGGACAGAATGGAAAGCAGTCGACGTCGCCCAAAACACGTCATTTCGGATCCTCCCGATCCACTAACGGTGCTTTTAGGTACCTCAAGCACCGGTCACCGACCTCGTCGAACCCGTCGCTTGCGACGAAGGGCTCGACGAGTAAATTAACCCTCAGACACAGCCCACTGAGTTTCTCGCCGGATCTTCTCAGTGGGTCGCGTTTCCGATCCGGTGGTAGATTCTGCGAAGCACGGCCCTTGCTAGAGTTCGTGTTAGCAACGTCGTCAGGTTTGAGCTCCGTGAGCTCACCTACTAGTTCTGCGAATCTATAACCCCTCGAGGTCACTAAAATAGGTAGAACAAAAAACAAAACAGAAAACAGCGTTAATGCCGCCACCCACCAACTTGAGACTTTGAGGTGGAATCTCATCCTTAAAATTATAACTATACAGGATGGTGATACCTACCCATGCCGGCTCATACAGTAATTACGTTTGAATTTATTATATTACCAAACTAATTTTTTTTTTAATTCTTAAGATGAGTGGGTAATTTTTTAATGAGCTAAGGTTAAGTTTAGGTCTATCAATAAGTTATACTAATAACTAGTAAAAAAATATATGTTATTAATATAAATAAAACATTGTGTCGTAATCTCCAGCAGAGCCATTAAGGATATTATTATGTTGCATTTGGTATGAACTCTATAAAGTGCATTTGTAGAGAAGTCGGTCATCCATTACTGGTGGTAGGACCTCTTGTGAGTCCGCACGGGTAGTAGGTAGGTACCACCACCCTGCCCTTTTCTGCGTGAAACAGTAATGAGTTTTAGCTTGAAAGGCGGGGCAGCCGTTGTAAATATACTGAGACCTTAGACCTTATATCTCAAGGTGGGTGGAGCATTTACGTTGTAGATATCTATGGGCTTCAGTAACCACTGAACACAAGCAATAAAAAAAAGCCTGGCCAATGCGGCATACGGTATCAATCTACAATGATGATACAATACAATTTTAAAATAATTTGTAAACAATCTCAGCAAGGTCGTTGAACTTTGACTTTTGTATGCATTACATTGCCGGCTCATGGAATATGAAAATTTCAACTGATATTTTTCTTTATCTTTCATGGAAAGGAAATCCCTTGCATCTATACTATACAACAGCAAAAAACAAACCTTTCTCGACATCAGTTCCGTCACTAAGCTCCCCCTTATCGATGTTGATGCGTTTGCAATAAAACGTCTTAACGACTATCGCCATCACGAGTATCGCGACTAGGGCTAGGGATGACGAAGCGACGAGGTTGGAATAGCTCGGCTGCTGAGATGCTGTGTTCATTGTAGACTCGGCAGATATCGTCACCGTCTCCTCTTTAAGTGATACTGTAAATGCAATAGACTAAGTCGTCGTGGCCTAACGGATAAGACGTCCGGTGCATTCGTGTTGAGCGATGCACCGGTGTTCGAATCCCTCAGGCGGGTACCAATTTTTCAAATGAAATACGTACTCAACAAATGTTCACGATTGACTTCCACGGTTAAGGAATAACATCGTGTAATAAAAATGAAATCCGCAAAATTATAATTTGCGTAATTACTGGTGGTAGGACCGCTTGTGAGTCCGCGCGGGTGGGTACCACCACCCTGCCTATTCCTGCCGTGAAGCAGTAATGCGTTTCGGTTTGAAGGGTGGGGCAGCCGTCGTTACTATACTTGAGACCTTAGAACTTGTATCTCAAGGTGGGTGGCGCATTTACGTTGTGGATGTCTATGTGCTCCAGTAACCACTTAACATCAGGTGGGCTGTGAGCTCGAAATCGCCTCGAAAGAACTGTACGCATTGTCACTTGTAGCATATAGAAAAGCTATTTTGAAATATTCATAAGGTGATTTAGTTCGATGAGTATTATAGTCTTATAGTGTAAGTTGATGTACAAAATAATATGTGCGTATTGTGTTGCTCTTGTTTTTTTTGTAACTTAAAAATTTCTAAATTTCTCTTCTCTATTCACTTTCTAGCTATATGTGATATTGACTGTAGAAACATATTTGATTATTGTTTTAGCAATTTAAATATTATATTATATAATATTAAAATATTATATGTTTGTATTGTGCTGTTGGTTTCCCAAATAAATAAATAAATGTCAAATGGTATGGTGGTGGTGGTGGTAGGTGTAATGTGAACTTTGTTTTAGTCGTTATTAAATAAAAACACATACGTATGAGTTGATTACCGAAAGAACATTTTGGTTAACTTAAAATTTTAAAAAAACAGTTTTATTTCAGATTTGCATCACAATTACTATTAAAAAACTGAATCAATTCTTATTTATTCTCGTAGACATGAAGTATTATTGATACTAACAAAAGATAAAAAAGCTATTAGTAAAATGGTAGTAGAAAAAATAATACTAATTAAGGATAAGAGATAAAATCATAATCACAAAATATATTTGTTAGGGTTCACACATCATCGTCATATATCAGAGTAATAACTAACAATACAGTTCACATCACCTTATGGGATATCTTTAGATGATCATGGTCATCTGGGCAAATACAGTCAAACCTGGGTAAGTGAGAACTGGATAAGTGAGAATACTCTATAAGTGAGAGTAATAGCCAGGACCCGACATTTTAAGCTCCCAAAACCTCTATTAGCGAGAAATAGAAACCTCTGTAAGAGAGAGTCGTTTTTCCCTCATGGACCTCCTTAAGTGAGACTGCTACTTATCTATACCTCTATAAGCGACAGTCGAGCTTTATTTATTTATATTATTTAGGAGGAACTGCTCTATAGGAATCTGCTATTTTATAACTCACTCTTAACTTTCGTGGTACTTCCTACCATTGTTTTTGTATTGTTTTCTCGTCAATATTGAACCTATTTATTTCGTGGAACTAAATAACGTTGTTATTTTATCGCATTTTTTTTGAATGCACACGTATGCCTGTGTACCGTCCTGTTTGTCGGACTTACTCAGTTTATCGTTAATAAATTGTGAAGGAAAGTTCTGTTCTGCATCATGTCAAAACGGAAAATTAAAGTACTGTCATTAAGGGATAAACTTAAATTAGTGAATGCCTTTGAATCCGGAAAATCGCGAAATGAAATTCAGAGGGTGCATTAGCGAGAAACTCGGGTTAGTGAGAAACCTCTATAAGCGAGAATAAGATTGTGCTCCCTTGAACTCTCGCTTATCCAGGTTTGACTGTATACGGATGCCAATTTGCGGAAAATGACCAGATGCACACTCATTGAACCAGAAATATACATATTAATGCATAATGAATGACCCCAACAGCAAAGCAGTAAAAATGTAAAAACTTTTACTTTTTTTTAATTATTCAAATCAAATCAAATAAAAAAAAAATTATTCAACATAAATGAAAGTACATACTTGTTGAACGTCAAAAGAACTACCGCCAAATTCACAAGAACTAGCCTCCGTCCTGAGAAGAATTGGCAAGAAACTCAGCGGGCATATCTTTTTTTTTTTACATATAAAATTATTATTTATTTATTTTTTAATATTAGATTTTTTTAAATATGAATTTGTTGCACTGAGTATTATAACGTAACAATTACTACAATATTGAAATGCCTGGAGCGAGCAACTCATTCCCACTATTATTAAATTTTTTTATTGCTTAGATGGGTGGACGAGCTCACAGCTCACCTGGTGTTAAGTGGTTACTGGAGCCCATAGACATCTACAACGTAAATGCGCCACCCACCTTGAGATATAAGTTCTAAAGATCTCAGTATAGTTACAACGGCTGCCCCACCCTTCAAACCGAAACGCATTACTGCTTCACGGCAGAAATAGGCAGGGCGGTGGTACCTACCCGCGCGGACTCACAAGAGGTCCTACCACCAGTAAATATTAAACCAGTAAATAATAATATTATAAAAATTTGGCTCCAACAACGCCTTTGGCATTGATTTCGCCAATGTCAAAGTGTATACAAAAATGACAGGTGCTTAGAGAGGAAAAAAAANCAAACCGAAACGCATTACTGCTTCACGGCAGAAATAGGCAGGGCGGTGGTACCTACCCGCGCGGACTCACAAGAGGTCCTACCACCAGTAAATATTAAACCAGTAAATAATAATATTATAAAAATTTGGCTCCAACAACGCCTTTGGCATTGATTTCGCCAATGTCAAAGTGTATACAAAAATGACAGGTGCTTAGAGAGGAAAAAAAAATACTAAATCTAAATACAAATAAATTTGGTCAGTTTTTCCATACGCGAATCTGTGGTTTTAAGAGCAGCCCAAACAAATATATGTTAGATTAACTACTTTAAAAATAAATATTATTAGCAGATAAAAATTTACACAGAATATTTACATGTTTAGAATAGACTTAAGTTAATAAAGAATTAATATATAAAACTTACAGAAATCACTGTTGCAGTAACTTTTGGTACAACAGCAGAATTTAGAACCCGGCAATCGTTTGGGGGCACGCATGCACTTGTCACATGTGCTAATGCCCCTTGCTGTTTCAGCTGATCTCCAGCAACCTGCACATAATCCCAATCGTGAACTAAATAAAAATTTAAGTCTTTACGAACATATACCATTGAAACGGTTTGTGTTCTACTCTAGATGGGCAGGTAGCATTTGCTGTTTCACAGTTACAGATTATGGATAGCACAATATGAGGGTCTTACATTGACTTTATTGTATGATGTTTTCAGTAACTCGTATTCTTGCACAACAAAGATGTAGAGGCAGAAATATCGTCTTCTCATATTAAAAGTGTGCAAGTTCCAAAAAAATTAGAACAATTTTTCTCATAAATACTGTCAAAAGACCGTAGCTTATTTTTAGTTTGTTTTTTTTAGTTTACCTATGTTTTGACTACTATATAACAAAATTAATACATAATTTTATCTTACTTAAAAAGACAGATAATGTAACTGGTAAAAAATAAAAAATAAACGTTGCTAAGATGATTAATATTAAAAATATCAAATGTTAAACCTTTAAAACACTCTCCTGTAAAATTAGTAAGTTTTGAGATTATACAGTTTTAATGCAAGAAGACGATATGTGTTTTAAATATGCTGTTTTATTATTTTCACTCATTGTATTGTATTATCATTTTTAACTGACCTTGTCCAAGTATTGTAATATTTCCTTGATCCTGCATATGCCAGAATGTGTAGCAAACATCTCGTGTATGTGTACAGTGTTCAACTCTTACTGTTTCACCGGTTTCAAGTTTCATATCTGTTATTGGCCTCTCTCCTGTGTAGATGTAATTAGAGGAAACAATAAAATATTATGAGGTATCATATCATATTTATGTTTACGTTTCGTTTGTGTCAAGAAATATCGACCATGCTGATATCAAGGAGCTGTCTTATCTGTAAACTACTCCTTACCTTTTACCTTTAAACCTAAAACCCGGATACATTATCTCTAGACCTGGCGAAAGGGAAACAGGGAGGGGTTTCACATTCCAGTGATGTCCAGAGATGTAGTGACCGAGCAATAAAATAGTGGTAGTTATAAAGATCACTACAACCCGGTTACATTATCTCTGGACCTGGCGAAAGGGAAACCAGGTGGGGTTTCACATTCCAGCGAGGCCCAGAGAGGTTGTGGTCAAGGACTAAAATAGTGGTAGCTATAAAGGTCACTACAACCCGGTTACCTTATTTCTGGACCTGACGAAAGAGAAACAGCGAGGGGCTTCACATTCCAGCAAGGTCCAGAGATATTGTAACCGAGCTATAGAGTGCATGGATACTATACAGCATAAAAACATTCAAACTAACTTTTTTTTTTTTGTTATCAATGATAGCCTACATTATTTGAAATGGTATTTTATTCAGTCCTCACTAGTTGGAACATAAAGGCTTCGTCAAACAGTACGCGTAATTAGCGCGCGTCAGAGCGCTACACCAATGCCGCGCTATGACGCCGAGATGTGTTGTACTACTACGGTATCATACCGTCAAACAGAGAGGCGTAGTAGCGCTCTGACGCGCGCTAATTACGCGTTCTGTTTGACGAAGCCTTAAGTGTTAGTTTTTCATTTTCTATTGTTGTTACATTCTACCAGATGCTTTCATTTATTTCTGTATAGAATAACTTAGTCAACACAATAGTAATATTTGCATGAGCGACACGTTAGTTGTCTGTGACAACAAAAAAGCTTTAAATTATACATAAATTAAAAAAATATATATAAAAATTCTAAAAAATAGAAACCTTTTTTTACTCACTATAAACATCATTCACTGTCATAGTTTGAGCGTTCGTGTCATCATCGTAAGACAGGGTAGCACTGTGGAACACATTCTGCATTTTGTATATACATGATATTGTAGGTCCCATTGTGGTTGGTGGATCGGTAACAACGATAGCATTTTTCACATTCGTATTCTTAATGTAACTAGGTATTTCATTTTTTATTATAACTTCTTTTGACTGGCTTGAAATTTTATGATCTATAGAACTGGTGTGTTTACTGACAGAGTCAGCTGCAAACTGACTCAAAACTGGTATATTGCCCGAAACCAATTCATTCGAATTCATATCATTGAATCTTCCAAATTCGTTCGGTTTTGTTACACTTCTCTTTCTTATTTTATCTTTCTTTCCAAACCAACTCCCACTAGAAATAATTTCATTGAGTGGCTCATTAATCACTGTTTCAATATCTTTATAGTCTAAATTTTCTAGGTCTCTTTTCCCCATGTATGTATGGCGGTCTTGCATCAGCCAGAAGTTATTTATATCATTATTCTTGTGTATATTTCTTCTATGGTGATATTTCGTAAATGTCCTTATATAATTTTGTGGTTTCAATAGATGAAAGCTGTTTCTAACCTCCTGAGAATCATGCTTGTTCGACGTCAAAACTTTCGCGGTGAAAATAAACAGAAATAAAACTATACATTTTAGTATGGGTATAACTTTTTGCCCCATTATACTCTCCGTGTTTTTTTTGCTGTTTTTTATATTTGCACTGGCATTTTCGAATATTTGTGTAATCTATCGGGCGGTTTTTTACTGCATAGCGTTAATCAAATCCTAGCAACCGCGACCCTGCAGAATTTATTGATTTTTTCATCATGTCATAAGGCGTTCGCGGAAAGCGTTTTTGATGTTTTCATTAAAAATAAACTAACGACGCACTAAACGCACTTATTAAATTCACAATAGATACAGTCCCACAGAAGTAATATTATTATAGAAATTAGTTTTACATATATACGGTGCAAAATGTTAGAATGTTCACATTTTCGTTGTTTTAACGCAAACGATGCGTTTTAATGTGTAATGGATTGATTTGAACGTATAAACTTGCTTTGTACTTTATGCAATGACGACGGATATAATTTTTTTTTTAATAGATGATTTATTGGTTTGATATTTTAGAAAAGAAAGAAAAAATCAATATGATGTTGACAAACAGTTCTTAGTTCGCCGACATTTCGATTTTCGATGACGTTCCGTGACCTATTTGTGTTTTTCCCACGAACATCTCAAGAAATCGATTAAAATCAAAACAATGTAAATGCTTGTGATATAAAATTTTTGATCAATCAAATCAAATATATTGTTAAATTCTCGTGAGAATTATGGTAATGAATAGTAACGAACGAATTATAAAGATTGACGAAGAGTAAGTTTGTCCACTGGGGTTTAAAAGTTTCTCGAGTGGCGATCACACATTCGAAGGCAGTGTAAATTTCCTATAAGATAGACCATCGAATTATTGTATACAGCAGGAAACATATGAAGATCATCGTGGAGGAGGAATATATCCAACAGTGGATGTCTGTAGACTGAAACTGTCTGTAGATGAACGTTGAGGAAAAGCTGAAACCAAGTTTGATCAGAAATATGTTGAACTTCGGAAACATTTCGGTTTAGATTGTATGTGAAAGCTCGTGACAAAAATGATATATCACTATATCATTTAGTTAGTTTCACAACTAATTCCTAACTAATTAATTTCTAAAATTCGTGGTCTGGTCCTCTTTTTAAATACATATTATTTTACCTTGATTACCATCTTTACCTTGATTGTTTTTGTCTAAAATCGATTCAAAAAGCAACAAGCAAATATTTTTGTTTTGCAGTACAACTCTAAGAATCAACAAAAATGTCATTGTCACCACTAGACAACGGCAGGCTGATCATAATTCTCTGACCAAGAGAGTCAGTGTTAGGTGTATTATCTGTTATCTTTTTGGCGGGAGCCCGAAGACGAAGAGTGAAGTTGTGTGAATTGTTTTATTTTGTTAGTTAAATTATTCAGGTTCAAACCTGTAATATTAAACCACTGTAGATGCTATATTATTAATAAGCCACCAGTTCATAAATATGGGTAAATAAAACGTAGCCGCGGGACGTGGCTTCTAGAGCTCTTCCAAAATATCCACTGAAGTCTAAGTAAACAGCTATCATTTTATTGAATCTTTACTTCCTCCATTTCATATTGTTTCATTTAATTTCAGCCCAACTGCTTACAATCTCAAATAAATCAACTTCATCTCATTTCGCTTTATTTCATTATGCGTAATTTTCATTTATGAGAATGTATATTTAATTAGCAGTTTTTTTAATTCGGCAGCAACGGCATTTTAAGAGACCAATCCTATACTTAAAAAAAGATGAAGAAGAGTACTTAGTTTACCGAGAGTATGAAAATGAATCACATTAAATTGGTTAATCAAAACCAGAATCAGTGACTTGGGTTTTGATCTTAGCAAAAAGAATCGATTACATGAGTCAACTCGAATCTTTGGCTCCATAGATTAAAAGGCTTACGAGAAAACTCTGAGATCGATTAACAAAAGTCGATGACGATTAGATTAATCCATGGCAACTCAATTTTGATAAGCTGATCATGATGACATAATAGTACCTATCTTTGCATTAAATTCTGTAAAGCACAGATCAAAGGCTTAGTTATTCATTAATTTTATTAGTCAAACACGTAATTTAATGCAAAATGTTATCATATTAGATCAGTATGTCTGCAACTCTGCACAGAGAGAGGTTTGATCTTTTCGTCAATAATCCATAGTCTAGATTCGGGAGTAAAATCGATTTTTCATTTCAATCGGAATCGATGCCATTTAAACTGCAAATCGCGTAGTTTCTTTTGCAAGATTTTATATTAACTGTCATCTCCTTAATGAGTATAATATCTATGGGCTTATTTCAGAAATTATATAGAACAGATGAGGCTGTATAGGCTTAGATCCTCTTGCCTATCCTAACAAGGAAAAATTATACCAAAAAAAAATATCTATGGGCATCTCAAAAACTACTGTCATTTATACTGTTTTCGCAGGTTACAGTACATACAACTTACAATAGATTTTACAACAAAAAAAAAGATAAAGACACCTGCGTTAATATTGTGATAATTAATTAGATACGTAAATTATCAAACGGTTATTCTTTATTATTGTTTAATAGTTAAGGTTAAATTACAAGTCTTTGAAATGTCTTCCATTCCGGCTTCCGAGGAAATTGATGAGGCGAAGGAGCGTGAGCACTTTAGGGCGGTTGTAAATGCATTCAAATATTACAAGTAAGTTTATGAATTGGACAAATGTAATGAACAAGAAAATTAAGTCTTCGTTTTATCGACTTATTAAGAAAGACAGAACTGACTGAAGAAACCATTTATAGGCCGCATAGTAACAACTCTTTGTGTTGAACTTGTACTCTGACCGAATTTATGTACTAATTGGCTAACCAGTTTATACAAACCGAACATATTATCGTATGTATCCTAATTAGGTCTAACACAAATCAATATATGGATTAGTTAATTTAAATCTTATTTTTAAATTTCCAGTTAAAAATTATTTAAATATTACACTAGTTTATGTATGTACTTCTTTCATTCAATTCATATTCAACGCTAATCTTAGTAGCTCAGCTACTTGAAGGAAAAAATCTTATCAAAATTGTGCTAAATTAATGTAAATTTTTTATTCATATTTATAACCATTAATTATTTACCTCTGTATTCTTCAATACTTATATTTGAAACAAGATTCTGCCCTGGTGGGTACAAGCATTCTTCCTTCTATGAAGTATCCAGTTTGAATAGTAGGAGGACATCTATTACACAATGCAATTGGGACTTTGCCTTTGACTTACGATATCTCATTTTAATGAATCAGTTGGCTGCAGTGGTGCCCATGAACTGCAGTAATTAACTCTCAGGCTATCTGCATTTCTAAGTAATTAATGAACACATGCACTGTAATAATTGATCTGATAACTGGAGTATTTTCTGAGTCAGCATAGTCATTGTAGGAGTACCATGTAAAGGCTCTAGTGTTGTACCACGAATGTAGATGTTTATTTTTTAATCTTTTTTTTAAGCTGCAGTCACACACTGGAGTTTTGGTTTTTCACTACTGGAAACAAAATTTTCACATAAATACTACTTTACAATGTAATAGGCACGAAATGATTGCAGCATTGATTTTTTTTCAGGCTATGTAGTTTGGATCGTATACATAAATCTGAAAAGATAATTAAGTCACTATCTCAACACCATCAAAGGCACCTGGATAAGTACAAAACATATTTAACTAGATTCAAGAAATGTCTTGACATTAATAATAGTGTTGTTAATTTGATAATTAAAGATGTGGATAAAATGTTTGAGAATGTCGATCATAGTATGACAGAAAGTTCTGGAGCCAATGGTACTGAGAGTTTTGGATGTAATTATAATAATTGCGAGATATCATCGCAAAAACAACATAAAATGCAGCATGACGTTGAGAAGGTAAATATAGAAATTTTTGTTCTCAATATTCTATTATTTTTATTGGTTACTAGCTGACCCGGCAGACTTTGTAGTGCCTCAATCGATAAATAAAAGACTTAAGCTTTGGTATAAAATAAACTTAAACAAACAAAAGGAATTTATCCTACGGAGGACACTACAAAGGAAAAACAAAATTGTTTTTTTATTTAATTCCGAGCATTTTCATATTTATCTACCTTTTAAACCTTCTCTGGACCGCCACAAATAATTCAAGATCAAAATGAGCCAATTCCGTCCAGTCGTTCTCGAGTTTTAGCGAGACAAACGAACACCAATTCATTTTTATATATATAGATATAGGTACACCAATCAGGGCACACCTGATGTAATTTAAATGCGTCACCCACCTTGAGACACGCGATATAAATCTCAATTTTATTGTAGAAAGACTGTCTCAACCAAGAAATAAGATCTTATGAGTGCTCTTCAACAAAAATATTAATACTTACTAGTAAATAACCATAGCAAAATCAAATTCCTTAGTCATTTGGATTATCACCACAGCTTCAAAACAGTAAAATAATATAGTTATAGTTATAGAAAAAATGTAGCTTATACAGAAATCTCTTTTAAGTAACAAAAGCAAACAGAGGGGTGATCTAACAAAGTAATTAGCTGGATTTTTTTAATATTAGGTCTTTACCGGTAGATTGAGTATCATCAGCTTCCAGGACCTCTTGTGAGTCAGCGCGGGTGGGTACCACCGCCCTGCCTATTTCTGCCGCGAAGCAGTAATGTTTTTCGGTTTAAAGCAGTGATTCCCAAACTTATTTCTTTTACCGCCCCCTTTGAAAATCAATTATTTTTCAGCGCCCCCCATTTTTATACACCCCTAAAACTTTAAAACCACAATTTCATTAATTTAATTAATAAATGTTGTATTAATTTTAGTAAATGTAGTACCACGTAGTGCATATATATTTGTAGATGCTATTATTGTTTCTTCATATTATTATATGTCCGTACATTGCTACAGAGCGTGTATTTACAAATTTGCAAAGTAAAAATGAATTCTTCTCATCAACATGTTTGTTAAAATTCAGAATTACCAAAATAAATTGCTAGTTCACTGTACTATTACTATGCTAATTTATTAGAACGAAACTATTTTTGTTGAATATCTTTCTNACAATGTTTTCTCTACTGACCTAGATAAAAGGATGACAAGGCTAATACACCTCATATATACAAACTTATAATTATTATTTTTCATTTCATCATAGTCATTGAGTCAGCGATGTGAAGAGTGCAAAATTCGGTAAAAATTCACACTAAAGTTGTACCTTTTTAGATTTAAATTCAATAGTTACGGTGTACAATTATCAACGCGTCCAATGGAGGCGAAGGGCGGTTTTTCGACATTTCTTTTTATTATTATTAAATGCGTTTATTTCAGACTAGCGGCCCGCTCCGGCTTCGCTCGGGTCTTTAACAAAAATTTCAAAATAAAAAATTATAATACACACTCATTAATAGAAAGTTGTAAAGATAGTTTAAATATTATTATTATATTTTAATGAACTTTTATTTTCATTTAAATAATATTTGTTTTTATCTATTTTTTTTATTTTTTTTACATAGTACATTATTTTATTCTATCATTAATAGATTTCGCGGCGCACGCGATGTAAAGAATATTTTTGGTCATTTTTTTAAATTATTGGAGTTTTAGTAAGGATTAGGGAATTTAAAAAAAAAAGAATATAACCTATGTCACTCGAGGATAGTCTAGGTTCCAAACAGTGAAAGAATTTTTCAAATCGGTTCAGTAGTTTCGGAGCCCATTCAATACAAACAAACAAATAAATCTTTCCCCTTTATAATATTAGTATAGATAATAATCCATATTAATGTTAGTAGCAGTGATTTCTTACAAATATGTTATTAAGGACATATTAACAAAGGAAAACAACAACACACATACATACAATTGCAATAGTTGTCCATTACGAGCAAATTCACGTCCTTACGGATCCATCAGATCCAATAACCTTTGCATTAGATGCCTTCAGCTCTAATACTAGGGGCAGGCTTAGGGACCCGGTAACCGTACTCGTCGAACTCGACAAAGAGGTCGACGTGCAACCTAACCCATGCATCAGCCCGCTGAGTTTCTCGCCGGATCTTCTCAGCGGGTCGCGATTCCGATCCGGTAGTANTAACCCATGCATCAGCCCGCTGAGTTTCTCGCCGGATCTTCTCAGCGGGTCGCGATTCCGATCCGGTAGTAGATTCATTCGCGAAACAATTGCTCTTGAGTTGTTAGGTCTCCTTCGGAGGCGCTCGGGCAGTTGTTAGCAAATCCCACCCTTCTTGGCTGAGCCTTTGCTCGCCCACCTGTCCTGGTGAAACTGGAAAGGCCTTCGGGACACCAGTAAACTTTCAATCATAAATGTTTTTTAATACATATTTGATCATACTAAGGTGATTCGCTAAATACTCGTGTTTTTTTTTTGCTTAGATGGGTGGATGAGGTCACATCAAATAAGGGTGCGCCACCCACCTTGAGATATAAGTTCTAAGGTCTCAGTAAAGTTACAACGGCTGCCCCACCTTTCAAACCGAAACGCATTACTGCTTCGCGGCAGAAATAGACAGGGTGGAGGTACCTACCCGTGCGGACTCCCAAGAGGTCCTACCACCAGTAATTACGCAAATTATAATTATGCGGGTTTGATTTTTATTACACGATGTTATTCCTTCACCGTGGAAGTCAATCGTGAACATTTGTTGAGTACGTATTTCATTAGAAAAATTTGTACCCGCCCGAGATTCGAACACCGCTGCATCGCTCAACACGAATGCACCGGACGTCTTATCCTTTAGGCCGCGACGACTTATTATGCACATACATACAGACTGAATTTTTTTTTTTTTTTTTAACATTTGGCCACACTAAGGTATTCGCTAAATACTCATACTGATTGTTGCAGTGACACTGTGGTCCGCGTGCTGGTGCCCGGTGCCGGTCTGGGCAGGCTCGCCTGGGAGATATCGAAACGCGGCTATACAACGCAGGGCAATGAATTCTCGTTGTTCATGCTGTTTGCAAGTAATTTTGTGCTTAATCGGTGCCCTGAGGTTTGTATTTGATCGTGTTTACAATATAACGTAACGCGTTATAACATTATGCTATGTATATGAAGCCTTAATTTATTTTGTGCTCCTCCCTAACTAGACTGCTTCGCACCTTATAGCATGAGATCTTTGTTTGTTATGTTAATTAGCCTAACGTTTTAACAAAATCACGTCTAGCAGTAAAATGTATAGCGGAAATGGCTAATGTGATTAACTTCATACGTAATCGAAATAATTAATGCTTTTTTATGGCAACCCTGCTAATGGGGGGTTGCCATAAACAAAAATTACCCTGAATTCAAATGCTTGTCCCGGTCGACGAGAAAAAAAATAAGATTTGGAATGCGCGAAAGAGGATATGCTAGAAAGGGGTGTGACTGCAGAGATGACGTATGATTGATGTAAATAGGAAAAAGGGATATGCTTCTCCGACCCCACGTGGTTTGTTAAGGCCAAGAAGAAAATGAAGACTGTGACCACGTAACTAAATCATTCGGACCATCGGAAATAATATAATAATAATAATAATAATATAATTAGCCTAATTAGCCAAAAGCCCGTATATATAGTTGTACCGGCTCTGTCGACAGACTGAACTGCGAAATGGGAAACCTATGAACAATAATAATAAATAAGGCCCGTAAATAATAAATACGTACGTACCAGTGTTTGCTGAGAAAAAAAAAAAGAAAAAAAAATGAATTTATGCGATTTTTTTTTATTGCCCTTGTAGGCAGACGAGCATCCGGCCCACCTGTTGGTGAGTGGTTACCGTCGCCCCTAACGACAGCCTGCCTGCCGACACCTATTAAACAGTTCTTTCAAAATACATCTATTTTCGAACAGGCGAACAAATATACGGTCCACCCGTGGTTACACCAGTACGTCAACAACCTGAGCTGCGAGCACCAGCTGTTGGGCGTGAAGTTCCCTGATGTGAGGCCGTCGGGAGACAGGCCCAATCCGAATTTTTCTATGGCCGCTGGAGACTTTCTTAAGGTACGTAAGACAGTGGAACGTGTGATGCTGAATGTCACCTGCTCTTGACTGCTGGTGTAAATAGAGAGTGATCTCAATCGCTCGTCCGATAACGCGTTGTGAATTCTTGGATAGCGAGCCTTGTCTTTTTTTCCTGCCTGATAGCCTTGAGAGGCTATTTCAGCTTCTCCTTGACGTGTAGGTGAGCTCACAAGGCTCTAACCAGGAGTGTTAATAAAACTGGCCCTAGCAAGAGCAGTACTTCGCAGAATCTACCACCGGATCGGAAACGCGACTCACTGAGAAGATCCGGCGAGAAACTCAGTGGGCTGTGTCTATGGGTTAATTCACACGGGTTTGACGACGACGGTGACCGGTGCTTGTGGTACCTAAAAGCACCGTTAGTGGATCGGGATGATCCGTAATGACGTGATTAGGGCGACGTCGACTGTTTACCATTCGGTCCACCGTTACCTTGATTCTTGCTCGGCCCCCAGGTCTACACCGAAGTGGACGAGTGGTCGTGCGTGGTGACATGCTTCTTCATCGACTGCGCTCCCAACGTCATCGAGTTCGTCGAGAGGATATACGAGATATTGGTGCCGGGAGGGATCTGGATCAACCTGGGACCCTTGCTGTATCACTACAGGTACGCAGGCCTGACTGCATCAAAGCCTTGATGACTAACGATCTTGATAATATTGTCTTGTGAGTCCGCACGGGTAGGTACCACAATCCTGCCTATTTCTGCCGCGAAGCAGGAATGCCATCCATTTGGGTGGCGCCCTGGATGGTTTAGATTCACAAATCAGCCCGGCAGATAGCGCTGCAGTCGGTATATAGGTTATTTATCTTACTTAGAAATAATTTATATGGCAAAACAACATTTGCCAGGTCAGCTAGTATTATTATATTATTATCTTCCTTTGCAGCGACATGCCGACCGAAAACAGTGTCGAGCCGCCCTACGATATACTAATAGAAATAATAAGAGATGTGGGATTTGATGTTCTGGTAAGTGTCCTGATAAATATAATAAAACAGTATATCGTCGTTGTCAAACCAAAATCTCCTGTGTGCACTTTTTGAGATTTTTACTTTTTTACCTTTTCGTATAGTTCACAGCCCTATCTACCGTATAAAAAAAACTGTGTAGTGTTTCTATAGCTTTAATATTTATCTACAGTTTTAATTTCATATAGTTCTTAAAAAATCACCTTCATATAAAATTTTATATGAAAATGTTTTTACTCGTTAATTCAAAATAGAGTTTTTGCACATAGCAGATTTTAGTTTGACAGCGACGATATTTATTACACGGTATTAAGGTAGTCATCGACTCGGCCTCTGGCATTGCTGATGTCCATGAGCGACGGTAAGTACTCACCATCAGGCGGGCCGTATGCTGGTCTGCCTATACGGCAATAAATAAATAAATAAACATTGAAAATTGAAAAAGTGCTTTAGTAATTTATTTAGACAAATATTACAAGATGATTGACATTTGACGTTCCAGAGCAATTAGTCAACTCAAATGTCAAATTATTTTTTTTAAGTGATTTTATGATCTGGTAACTAAGACCTTTAAGTCAAGTCTTATTTTAATTTATGAAAAATAATAATATTAAGCGAAATGAAATGAAGCTGATTAATATGAAACATGGTATAAAATTAAAAGAAATGAGATAATATGGGATGAAATATAATCTCAGTAAAATGGTGGTCATTTATTGGGACTTTTTGGTGGATCCCGCGAAGTTGCGTCCAGCGGCTTTGAGTGAAAAATGGCACTTAACTGTTTTATCTTTACAGGAAGAGCGGACGGGCGTCAAGACGAAATACGCCCAGAACCCAAACTCTATGCTTCAGCACGAATACGAATCTGTTTTCTTCGTCTGCAGGAAGCCTTACACCGCACTACGGGATAAACTTTAAATTAAAACAACTTACTGAGTATCAATGTAAGTCGGTCCACGGCAAAGAAAAAGTTTGGATAGCTTGAATTATCTTCTAAACGGTTAGTATACACCGATGATGAATGTTCATAGTGTATGCGTTATGCAGTAAATTTGCTCAGAACATCAAAGCTTTGTGAGGCACAGGTGTTCGCTATCAATCAGCCACTTTAGTTTTATTTATGTGAACCATACTAGAGGCTTAGAGGTGGGATTAAAGAAAAATAACTCAGTGCCTCTCTAGGGAGCTTGTGGAATGATATCATAAACATTAAGTACCCTAGTTTTTAAATCAATCATTGAAGGAGATATGTTTTTTTTTAGCGGGAATGTGAGGATTGAATTTGTGTGATTTGTTTTGTTTTGTATATTTAGTGTTTCTTCAGGTTTAAATGTGTAATAACGGTGGTTTATTAACTGTTTAATATATCTGTGAAAGAGCACAAATGTGGGAAAATGAAACAAAGCCGCTGGTCGTAACTTCTCGGGATCCTTCAAAAAGTCCACTGAAAAAATCTCAGTAAATAACTACCATTTTATTGAGATTATATTTCATCCCATATCATCTCATCTCCTTTCGTTTAATTTCATCCCAGTTGATTAATGTCTCAAATTAATCATCTTCATTTCATTTCACTCCATATTATCATTTTTCATAAAAATAAGAATATAAATTAAAATAAGACATGATCTAAAGGTCTTAGTTACCAGGTCGAAAAATCCTTTAAAAACAAATGAAGGAGATATTATGTCGCAAATCTATATTAATAGAACTATGTAGTTCAATTTGGAAAGTTGAATGAACATCCGGCTTTATGGTTATTAAGAGATATATTAGTATTAATCTGTTTCTCATTGTCTTAGCGAAAAGATAACAGGGTGGCCTTTATAGAAGCCAGCGATAACTACCTCAACCCAAGCGGGTGACAATACTAAATTTGTTAAACTAGCCTTACCTAAATATTTGTAGCGTTAGCAATGCGGATTTTGGGTTTAGGCTCGAAAGACCTGAGTCCAGGGTGTTAAGATTTAAATAGTTAGTGAAATTTAAAAGGTGCCTGTACCCAAACATTCTTTCACGGCTCCTTAAAGGACGAAAGCGCTTAATAGTTTTTTTTTTATGTCAATTGTGAGTTATCTCGCATCACTAACCTCTTCAGAGACGATTTTTTTAAAGTACAAATAGTTACATGAATTTGATTTATACTTTATTGCGATTTGTTTATTTTATATTTAAAACAATTGAATGAGTTAAAAAATATATTAACAAACATATTTAGTAAATAAAAAATTAAAAAAAAATAAGTCCATATAATATGTGGCCTTTTAGTGTAAGTTAAAAATAAAAAACAATTATTATAAAACTCACACATATGTGCCAATGTTTCTGAAGAGGTTAAACTTGAATAATGATTACTTTCATTTTGATTTAATTCCAAAATTGAGTTGCAATCGGATTATTAGTAAAATAAATTTTTATTTAGTACTACATATTTTTAAGACTAGCTTTTGCCCGCGACTTTGTCCGCGTGGAATAGTTACTTTGGCATGACGCTAAATTTTACCCGCCTCTTCATTTACGTAGAAAGTGAAAATATTTTTGAATAATAGAATGTTAGCTCTTTTAAAGGGGAACAATTCTCTCTTACATTACTTTAGCGAAATTTTAACTGTTTCCGCAGCGCATGCAGTGAAAACTCTCAAAAGGGATTAAGGCCGCTTGTATTGGCCTTACCGTGATGTTATATAGCCTATAGCCTTCATCGATAAATGGGCTATCTAACACTGAAAGAATTTTTCAAATCGGACCAGTAGTTCCCGAGATTAGCGCGTTCAAACAAACAAACTCTTCAGCTTTATAATATTAGTATAGATTACACTTGTCGAAGAAGCGGCTTCGTTTCTGACACCAATATGCACCATACCATCAAATGCGATACAGTGTTAGATGAAGAAGATTATTTTCCATCTGTCACACCACTTATTAACTCGGTTTTTTATTTATTTTTTATTGCTTAGATGTGTGGACGAGGTCACAGCCTACCTGGTGTTAAGTGGTTACTGGAGCCCATAGACATCTGCAACGTAAATGCGCCACACACCTTGAGATATAGTACTAAGGTCTCAGTATAGTCACAACGGCTGCCCCACCCTTCAAACCGAAACGCATTACTGCTTCACGGCAGAAATGGGCGGTGTGTAGGTCACCGGCGACCTACGCGGCGCACTGAAGTAATTATATCGATTTGTGTTGCTGTTCGAATTTAAGACACTGACAAAATCAGTCATTTGCTGTTGGCAGTGATACTGACAGGTTCTACTGAAAGATTTCGCGCCCGTTCATATTTAGACGCGTAATTAAATAGGGAATTCCCCGGTTAACAGGTTAAGCTATTCGCTTTTTGGAAGGCCTCAAGATCCGTTCAGTAGAATTGCGTAACGAACGAACAAACAAACAAACATACATCCAAAAATTTTGTATCCTTGTTCCATTTATGTAACTTTAATGTTTTTTTTTTAATTGCTTATAAGGTGTGACGGATTGACAAGAGGGATTTTTTTAAAAGCAATATTATCAGGCGGTTCGATTAGTAATTTTTTTTTCTAATATCTCTTCAAACGTGCCTACCTCTTTACTTAAAACAAAAGTCTGTATTTACTAATATTTCAACAAACGAAATTTGACTAACAAAATTGTATTATTTTTGTATTAAAATTAAATAACTGAAACGTTGTCTATAGTATTAGTAGTAAATATTTTTAAAGAAAATGTTTAAAAGAATTAATAATAGCAGAGTTTAAAAATGAATAGTATTTTTGTTTAATATTAGCTTTCATTAGAACTAATGAGTTCAAATATTCAAATAATAAATTTTCGATGATAAAAAACAGTAAAACAATTATGTCGAAATGTTTGATAATTTAATGCGTTTACGGATTGATTTCGTAAATAACTAATAACAATAGTTGACGCTTATAGCTTAGGTTCTAGTTATGGAGGGTAGAGGTAAGGAGAACCGTCTCATATGGGAGAAGCTTGAAAAAGTGTCCCACTTTCAGCACTAAATAACAGTTCAAAAATCCTCCAAAATGGCGCTAGCATAGGCACAGGGTATGATATGAATTGAGCAGTCGTTAACTGAGTCGTTAACTGATGCTGAGTTAGGAAATTTAACATATTTAATGACTAGAGTAGTTATTGACAGTGTAATTAATATATAAGACCTCACATGTTTACGTAGTCCAAACGAATTTCGTCAATATACCTGCTGTGGTAAAACGTGGAAACATCGATTGCATTTTCTTATCAGCTTTAAATAAAATACTTTTTGTGATTTTGTAGTGCTTACAGTTCTTTCGTTCTTTTTTATTTCTCTATCTTATTCTAATAACTTTCAGCGCCTTTTTTAAAATTTACCCAGTTGCTACTGTAGCGCCACCCTTATTTAGCAGATTTTAACGGACACTTTTTCACACACAGAGACGGTTCTCCTTACCTCTACCCTCCATAGTTCTAGTTTATCTTGCATCAGTTGCGCATAGCCTGTTAAGGTCTGTTAAATTTGTGCAGTGATTTTGACAAATATGATCTGTCAGGTTCCCAATTGACACTTCGCACTTAAATTGTGCTGTCCCATTCCCACTTCCCTTCGGTAACCACTACACCAGCCGCGTAGTGTCAAGAGAAAATTATGTTAAGTTGAAACTTTTCAGGTATTGTCTCAAAAAAAAAAGTCCACCGAAATTGGCTGCTACTTCTGTTTTCGGAAAAAGGTCTATTTAAAAAAAAATCAGTTAAAGATAAAATTCAGGCAGAATTCTATCGATGCAATTGAATGACAATTACATGTATGACGTATCTATCCTCATTATAATAGATACATTATCCATAAGCTTAATAAAAGAAGACCTTATTTTTGTCTGTTACAACTTAAGAGTTCTATGTGAACTCTTAACAACTTACAAGTTTGATAAGCTTGTGTTGTAGAACAGTTGTAACGGTTAATATTTTTGTTGCGTGTAAGAAGAAAATAAACATCTATTTTTTTTCAAGCTTATCAAAATGTTAATATTTGTTTAGTTACGTATTAAGTCGTTTTCCGTTTGCATTTTTTTTTTCGTTCTGACAGCTGTCTAAATTGTAAATGTCAAATTTTTTGTACTAAAAAATATTTACTGTTATGACACTTGAATTTTTTATTGTTGTTTGGGATTAATAGGCGAATGTAATAATATAATAGATAGTTAAAAAATATTGTATTGTTTCAAAGTAAGCTTTACAGCTTTATCATCAGACTGTATTTGTAAACTTAAGTTGTTGATATAAAAAGTACACAAAAAAAATGGTTGTAAAAAAATTAGTTGAATTTCTGAACTTTGTTTATCTTGTTTCATTTATTGTGAGCAATGTTAATAAGAGATTATACGTGTTTTTTATATAATAAATAATAATGTTTTATTTTCGTGTTTACTAATATGAGTATATTTGTTTGATAATGTTTTTTTTTTTTTTTCTCCTGCCTATGCTGATAGCCTGTCAGCTTACCGCGTGGTGAGCTCACGGGCCTCAAACCGGAGAGTTGCTAACACTGACCCTAGCAAGAGCAGTGCTTCGCAGAATCTATGTATCGGAAACGCGACCCACTGAGAAGATCCAGCTAGGAACTCAGTGGGCTGTGTCTGTGGGTTAATTCGCTCGTGTAGCCCTTCGTGGCAAGCGACGGGTTCGACGAGGACGGTAACCGGTGGATAATATGTATTAATTATGTGAGATAAGGAGATATCAAAGAATTGGCTCTTTAGTTCGTGTTATCAAGACAGTGTGAATCATTTAAAGTTTGAACATCAATCATGTAAAGTTTTATTTAAATACTGCACAAAGTATCTTGCTATTTTATCTGCACTTTCACTGGAGTGATTCATTTTGGCATATGTGAGGAACTGTCTCCTGAGTCGCAGTAACTTCTGAGGGTTTACATCTTGTATGAAGCCCGCTTCAAGCACAGCCGAGTAACTTGGGAACTTGACTTCTCCGTCCAAGTTCAACTGTTTTGCTTCCAGTATCTGTTTGCAGATATCCTGAGTGGTTTTGTCCACTTCGTATAGGAAGTTCGTTGAGGATAGTGGAGGCTGAAATTATCAAAATTTATATGAACATCCGCTGAAGTTTTGTTAAGTAGAAGGACAATACGTGGAATAGTCCCAGAGGGTTATTTAGTTCTTCTTTTGTCTGTAAAATACTTAGTATACCACTATGCATGCATGAAAAATATTCACATACGTTTATAAAGAAATCTACTCACAAATACTTTCAGAACTAGCTGGAAATGTATTAGGAGTCTTGTGACATTAGAAATATCTATACTATATTATAGTAGTAATTGATGTCACATCACTAGCTAATTGTCACAAAGAGTAACTGCAGTGTTGTCTGTATTTGACATCACAACACAATACTTCAAACAATGTTCTAATGTTAGAAAATAGTTTAACTCGCTCTGGGCATTGCTTATAACCTTTAGTCACGGTAAAACTAAGATGCAAGATTAGGTGACACGTAGATACTTACATTTTGAGTGCTTTGATTGGGTGGTGGAGGTTTCTTTTCAAATAGAACTTTATATATATTTTCTAAATCTATATTGTCTGTTGGCAGAACTGTGAAGAGTGGACTATCCCATCGATTGTTGGAATTTGGTTCCTCGAACCTAGAAATATTAATATTTGATTAATATAGGCAATATTAGAGAAATGAAACATTCGAGTTAATGATCATGTTTTGTTAACAGTCTCCTAATCTGCTCTGGACTATAATGAATTGAACTGAAAATCAGAAAGATATGATATTAAAATATATTTTTGAGTTGTGTTCCTAATCTTTGCATCGTGTTCCTCAGTGCTGAGGGTTGTGACCTATATGGAGCACTTTTGTTTGGTCTGCTCCTCGATTCCTTAATATTAGAACTCATTCACAAAGGTTCTCTTGGGAAAATGACTAGTTGTGGATTCCCATGTCCTTCTACAGCAGAATTTCATCAGAGGCAGTTTGGTTTCTCAAAATATCAAAGTTGTGTTATTTTATAACAATTCATCAATGAAATATTTTTTTAATAGTTAATAAAATAATTTAATTTCCATTAACTATCTGTCTCTCTGAACTATATGTTATTTTATCTGTTTATTTATTTGATGAGTTGGATGCTCTATTACATTTACAGTAAAAATCCATTTCAAAATTAACTATTAATTAGTTAGTTATTTAGAAACCATAGATCCACTACATTTCACTTTAAAGAAGGCGATATTAGAGGCAGTAGCATAAGTGTGTCCACATTGCCATTGTCCATAAACATTCGCACGAGATGGGCCCTAGTTCTGCCACCAATATCATTAAAAATCGACTAGTACACATTTGTTCATAACTTTTACTGATTAAGAACACAAACATGTTTTTTTTTATTGCTTAGATGGGTGGACGAGCTCACAGCCCACCTGGTGTTAAGTTGCCCATTGACATCTATGACGTAAATGCGCCACCCATCTTGAGATATGAGTTCTAAGATCTCAAGTATAGTTACAATGGCTGCCCCACACTCACTGACTCACAAGAGGTCCTACCACCAGTAAACTGACAAGAGGTCCTACCAACAGTAAGTGTGATTTTACCTCAATCTAGTTAATGCATTAAAGACTTCCTCAGTGTACTGGTCACTATTATCTGTGCTAATCCTCTTCTGGTTCGCCTGCCACGCTTCTTCGTGATTACGTAGGGTGTAAATTGTGCATTGCGTGGACTTTGAAGCTTTTGAAGCGCAATACAACTCGTAACGGTATCCTGTGATGTAATAATCGAATATAAGTTTATACAGCAGAGATTTCTCGGTTGTCTCATATTTGTTAATTGATAGTAGATTGTGATGAGCTAGTTCACGTTAAACACTCAGACAAAACACTTAAATTATTACTGTGATCATTTTCATTTGAATTTGGCGGATAATCCTTAAATACAATAATTCGGTTATGGTACAGTTTAATTTCATAGAATAATTGAAATGAAAATGGTATTTATTTATTTTTATTTATTTATTTATTTATGTACACACAAAAAGGAAGACATAGTACAGAGTAATAATATATAAAAATTGTGTATTAATGTAAAATCTGTTTTGTTTAATTTCTTAAGGCAGATGTTAAATGATTATTTACCTTTGATATAATTGCTGCCGTCTAGTATAACGACATTATCCTTTCCTATTAATCTTATCGCTTCAGATTTTAAGTAACCCCGCACTCGTTTTTCCTTCTGGGAGTCGAGAAACATTGAATTTTTTTCATAACCTAATTTTGCAATGGCCTCGTCTTCAGAAACGATTTCCACGGTTTTCCCGTGCTTTTCCTCAAAAAACTGTTTTAATTCTTTCGCTCTTGTCGTTTTTCCGCTTACTGGTGTGCCACAAATTATAATTAAAGGCATTTTATCGAATACCTACTCTTATTTTACTATATTTATGTTTCGTTTTGTTGAGTAGCAATTCTATTTTTCTAATTGAAAAGGCGAAGATATCAAGCCATACAGCCTAATCTTTTGAATATTCTGTTTGATGAAAAATGATACTGAGCGTTATGATATGGAATGGAATGAAGTCTCAGTAAAATGGTGGTTATTTATTGAGACATTTTCAATGGACTTTGTTTCATTTTCCCACATAGGTTTTGCAGATATTAAACGGTAAATAAACATTATTACACTTTAAATTCTGAAGAATCAACGAAAGAAAACAAATTACACTTCGTTCCTCGCGTTCCCACCAAAAAATCTTTTGTGTTTTACATTAATTAGATATAGGTGCCTTATTACACTATGCAGATGGTTCTGTTTGAAGTCTGATATAGTCTGATAACATATAATTTTAGTCAACAATATGTTGATTTGTGTTTTTCTGCCCAAGCGACGGGTTCGACGAGAACGATGACCGGTGCTCGAGGTACCTAAAAGCACCGTTAGTGGATCGGGAGGATCCGAAATGACGTGTTTGGGGCGACGTCGACTGCTTTCCATTCTGTTAGCAGGATCGGGAATATAGTTACCGGCGGCCACGATGAGAGGGTTCTCGTGTCGTGCCGCTTATCGAAGTGGCGCATCGACGCCGACTGCAGATACCTACTGATGAACTCTAAGTCCAGGTCGTCATGGAGGTCGACGTTCCTGACGAACCACGGAGCTTCGACGGCTATGCTGCAAAAAACGGGATTGAATAAATTGGAATGATTTTAAGTTAGTGCGGGCCGCGTGAGTAAACACTACACTTGCATAGGTCATGACGGGGCGTATGCAAGTTTTTTAGAGTGTCACCTTATTTCTAAGGGACATTTTACTTCGCCTGCATATCATCGGGTAGAGGCGTCCTAGTATAAAGGTGGCACGGTCGCATACCGTCTTTATGTGGGGGCGGAATATCATCCCTCTGTCGAGGGTGACGCCTAAGTATTTGACCTTCGGGGCCCACGGTATGGGTAGGTCGTACATCATGATTGGGCGAATGGCGGAGGCGGAGGTGTTGACACGGAATGGGATGCTCAAAGTGGTGTTCGGTGGGCGACTCCTTTTGAAGAGCACCGCTGTGCTTTTCGTGCGAGCTTCACTTGAGCTTATTTATTAACATTCGCCCTACCAAGAGTAGTGCTTAACAGAATCCACGACTGTGTGGTAGGCTGTGTCTATTGACGAGATTGATCGTCGAATTGGCGAGATCGACAAGGACGGTGACTGGTGCTTGAGGGTTCTAAAAGCACCGAGAGTGAATCCGGGGAATCCAACAAGACATTGTCATGTTTAGGGCAACGGTGGCTTTGTATTGCGCCATGGCCTGGATCAGATAAGTAATTACCGGCGACCACGATTAGAGGGTTATCGTGTCGCGCCGCTTTGTCGAAGTATATTAATGCCGCATGTGTTTTATGATTTTAGATAGTAATTTGTTCGAGTGTTATCGCGCCAAGAATCACTTCTTGACAAAGATTCCAATACGGCACGTATTATTACGCAATAGTTATCTGTCACATTCGTATATCCACTACGAAAAAGCGCAATAATCAATTATACATAATTATCTTTTTAATATCACGATACTGAATAATTATGGTTCTGTATATTGAAGTGAAAACTTCTTTAGAATCGTTGTGATCAAACCGGATGCAACGGAAAAAACGACTGGTAAGAGACACAAATACAAAAATGTGTAGGATGAAGCCAGCAAAGAATGAGACAGAAATATACATACTATTTAATACAGCGCCATCTGTGAGATTTTTTAATACTAACGTGTGTATGAAAGCTCTTGTAGTGAATTTTAATTTAGGATTATACGTGAAATTAAAATAGCAATTCACAGAGGGCGCTACCTTACAATTATNAAACGACAGGTAAGAGACACAAATACAAAAATGTGTAGGATGAAGCCAGCAAAGAATGAGACAGAAATATACATACTATTTAATACAGCGCCATCTGTGAGATTTTTTAATACTAACGTGTGTATGAAAGCTCTTGTAGTGAATTTTAATTTAGGATTATACGTGAAATTAAAATAGCAATTCACAGAGGGCGCTACCTTACAATTATTTACTAATGACAAAATTTTACATATACTTAAGACGTTTAGGATAATTGTATTTTAATTTTGGAAGGCTTCACTTCTACCACGTGTGAATTGCACACATTTTGTTTTGTTTTTTTTTATTTCTATTTTAGCACTTGTGAGTCCGCACGGGTAGGGACCATTGCCGTGGAGCAGTAATGCGTTTCGGTTTGAAGGGCGGGGCAGCCGTTGTAACCATACCGAGACCTTAGAACTTATATCTCAAGGTTCGTGGCGCATTTACGTTGTAGATGTCTATGGGCTTCAGTAACCGCTTAACACCAGGTGGGCTGTGAGCTCGTCCACCTATATAGGCAATAAAAAAAAAGTATCTCCAATGTAGAGAATTTGTGTGTATTAGTACCATAAGCTTCCCAGAGCAATGCTTACACTTTGCCTGAATTTACTGAAAAAATTTTACATAAACGCGAGTGAGGCCGTTGATAAAAGCTAGTAAATAAAAACCTTGAACATCACGATTTTCAGAAAAATAAAATAAAAAATAAAACTTAATTTAAAAAAAGAGGAACCCTAAAACGTAATTGAATATTTAGATCAAATGTCTAATCAATCAACTGTTAGTATTGCAACCTTCGGCCGACGTTTCAATGTTGTCAGTGTTAAAAATTTACAATTTATTTTTTACATACAAAAATCTTTGCAAGCAGCCTTCGGTTAGTTTGAAAGTATGCTGTTTATCTTGATTTAATAAAAGTAATCAGTCAGTTCAATGAGGCCAAGATATACCAAGCTATACGGGTTCAGGATCCGACTAGTGTTGAGTGGTCCGGCGCCCATGGACCACACAACGCCTGTGCCTATCTTGAGACATGATATGCGGCACAATTGTATAGTAAAACGGCTCTCCCTTCGAAAAAAAAACATATGTAATAATTTAAAATGTATGTAATGACAGTTATGTGTTAGATTTTTTAAGTTACTATCATAGATAATAAGTAATTCTTACTAACAAAATGCTATGGTTAAAAAAAAAACTGAAATAAAGTATAAATATAAAAAATAAATTAAATACAAAAATTATGAATTGAAAAAGTTCGGTTCATCCTTTATGTTCGATGTTTCGTACTAAAATACAAACATAAGTACTATTATGTACATACTACATACTATCAAATAGCATAGCGATGCATTCCGTGACGACGCGTCGCCACGCCAACAGTCCATCTGGATTGTTGACATAGATGTTTCACATCAAAATGATAATCAATCTTCTTTGTTTTGGCCTCATGATACGTTACAAGAGTTCGCTTAGTCCATCTTACCATGCTGCATAGGGATTTGGCTGCCCGCTGAGTTTCATGGTGGATCTTCTTGATGGGTCGCGATTTTGATCCCTTTTTAAATTTTTTTATTGCTGAGATCACCTTAGCCCCCCTGGTGTTAAGTGGTTACTGGAGCCCATAGACATCTACAACGTAAATGCCGTCACCCACCTTGAGATATCAGTTCTAAGGTCTCAGTATAGTTACGACGGCTGCCCCGCCCTTCAAACCGAAACGCATTACTGCTTCACGGCAGAAATAAATAGGGTGGTGGTACCTACCCGCGCGGACTCACTAGAGGTCCTATCACCAGTAAAATCCTGCGGCAGATGCAGCGAAGTACTCCCCTCGTTAGGGGTAATGTTAGCTAATTTCCTAGCTGGAATAGTCCGTTAGGCTATTTGCGAATAAGTATGGCAAAAAGGGATTTTGCTTGAGTTTTACGACGGGCAGCCTCCCTGACGCGAATCCTACTTCTGTTATATCTCTATGTACCCGATTGTACCTCTTGCAACCTGCCATAAGAACTATCTCTTTCGCCTTTTGCTGTAGGTTTTACTATATCATCCAATTTACGTTCTACGAATTTAAGAGCGGACTGTTAGCGTAGTATGGACATGTGATGCGTAGAGAGAAGATGCAAGTGACTAGGAGATGTATGGAAATAGTAGCGCAAGGTAGAGTGGGAAGAGGTCGATCGAAGAAGACATGGATGGAGTGTGCGAATGACGATATGAGAGAGAGAGAAGTGAGTGTTGAGATGACGCCTGATAGAAGAGAATGGAATAGAAAAATTCCCTGTGCCGACCCCGCCTAGTGAGATAAGGTGGAGAAAAATAAGATTTTAAGTTCTACGATTTTCATTGTATTTATTATAAAAATGTAACCAACCAAAGAAACTGTTAATAAAGAAACAAAAAAGGAACAAACTCCCCCAAGCCGACTGGTCCTCGAGGGGGAAAGCGACCACAACCCTCCAACGTCTAAAGACAGCGAATGGAAAAGGTTGGAGGAGGCCTCTGCCGACTGGCAAACAGATCTAGGAAAGATAACCGAGCAACAAATATTAGTTTACATTTATTCATATCTATTAAGTTTAAGATTTTAATGCTAGTATTTTTAGTTAGTAAAAGATCTTTAGATCTGAATAAAAGGCTATATTATTATTATCTATACTAATATTATAAAGAGGAAAGATTTGTTTGTTTGTTTGTTTCGAATAGGCTCCGAAACTACTGGACCGATTTGAAAAATTCTTTTTCCATTAGAAGCTGACACTGTCCCTGATGAACATAGGCTACTTTTTTTTTATTTTTTTTTTATTTATTTTTTTGTTTCATGTGTGTTTTAATGTTTCCGAAGCGAAGCGAGGGCGGGTCGCTAGTATTATTATAAAAATGTACATTAAAGTTTCAAATTCGTCAATACAAATAGTAAGTAACAATTACAAGTGTTGATCGTAATCCGTACGTGGAACGTTCAATTCGTTTGACAACGATTTATGCAAATCAATCGAAATGATAGATGGTCCGCTTCTAATGAGACGTTGACGTGTGTCAGTTGTGTCATTGTCATGTCATTGATTGTTTATGGTTTCGAGTGAGTGGGTAGATCTGTGAATTCGGGGTTTGAAAATAAGGTTTTATTTAATTTACTAATGTTTTACTTTGTAATTGGAATAATAGTTAAAAGAGATTTATATGGATAGCCTAGAATTTTTAGGTTCATGTTTGTATTTCCTTGATGGACAGACGATCGTACCACCTGACGATGAATGGTCGCTCATGGACAACATCAAGGCCAGGGATACAGTCAAGCGTCTTACCATTAACTACCATAGATGAAACAATACCTAATCTAAAAATTAAAAAATAAAAAGATGTGTGGTGTCGTGGGACACCGGATAGGAACGAAGTTCCATATAAAAAAAAAAAAAGAATTACGAGAAAAAAATCGCGCGGTGAAATATCGCTGTGCGGAAAAGAAGGCCTTATTCCACGGACTTTTTCTTACGGTTTTTACTATGACCTTTTTTTCAGTTCGGTCGCGCAGCAAAATCTATCTTCTCCAAACCTGCCGTAAGGAACTTCGTTCCAATAATTATAGATGGATTTTATAGTAATCGTTACTTCTATATCGTCATTCGACTTATGAGTTAAGGTTTTAGTTACATAATAAAGACAATAGTCAAAAGCTACTTTTCAACCGGCAGTTCTGTCCGAAACGTTTGCCTTTGTTTGAGAAAAATCGTCAGAAAGCGAATTCGATTTTAAACATTCTAATATTTCTTAATTACATGCTCATGTACTCGTATACTTACTTGTCAAGCAAGTACGCCATAATCGAGTTTAATAAACTGATCACTAATTATTCCTTAACAAGCGCTCACTTACCTAACAACCATTACCTAATACGTCAGCTTCAGAGCCGTGAACCAAATTAAAAAGTTGAATTAAAAAACTGCAAAAGCGGACTCGAATTTCAAAAGGTGACGTTTGAATTTTTTTTTGTGAAATTTAAATTCGGAATGTTGACGCTTGACCTCGGAGCGCGATGGCGGTCAGCTTTGGCGCCAACCGCTCACTTATGGCGCCAAAACGTGCGTAGGCTAGAAACTTAATTCTAATGTAATTTATTTAAGGACGTGCCATTTTTTTTTAATTCATCATCATCATCATCGTCAGCCCAATACAGTCGTTCACTGCTGGACATAGGCCTCTCCCAATCCACACCACTGAGCCCGGTCTTCGGTTTTTCTCATCCACTTCTTGCCGGCCACCGTTCAGAAGTCATCGAACTATCTAACCAGGGGGCGTCCCACGTTACGTCTTCCGCTGCGTGGTCTCCACTCGAGGACCTGTCTGCTCCAGCGATCGCCAGTTCTACGGCATATATGGCCAGCCCACCGCCATTTCAGCTTGCTGACTCTTTGAGCTATGTCGATGACTGTAGTTCTCTATCGAATAACCTCATTCCTGATTTTATCCTTCAGAGTAACTCTGAGCATATAATAACTTATAATTACGTAATTAATTAATGTAATGAAGCCTGCAATAATTGTGATAGGCCTAATTACCAAATTGGGAAAAAGACTTCGAGTATCAAGGTAACAGAAAGTTGCAGCTTATCCTCACACCATTACGGATCCATCCATCCACTAATCCAACTATTAGACCTCTGCAGCGCTTAGCACTAGAAGCAGGTATAGGGACCCTGGTACCCAGACTCGCATAACTAGCAAATCTCACCTCACCCGGCTAAGTTTGCGCTCATCCACCTGTTCTGGTGAAACCAGATCGCTTTCGGATAAGGCATTCATCCCAAATTAAAAAGGACTATCCGATTAACTTTAAACAAACATTCATGAATTTAGAAACAATTGTTCTCTCAAGTTTCTGTCAGAAATTAGATTGACATTCGTCTAACAACGTTTGAGGAGCTAAAGCTATATTTTTTTTAAATAAAGCTGCGAAATAACAGTCGTATTCAGATGCCGAGGCTTAATCATCAGAGTCACTGAGCACTAGATTCACGAGGCAATAATAGCAACGCAGTGATGGGCCATTGATTTGTAGGCAGCGGATTGTCTCTGCCCCTGGCATTGCTCAAGTCCACGGGCGACGGTAACCACTCACCATTATATGGGCCGTATGCTCGTCCGCCTAAAAGGGCAATAAAAAAAAATTGAAACTTAAAATGCAAGAATGTGATAATTCCTTCAATTGTTGTAATTAATGATCATTACGAGTATTGCGATATGTGACCGCAAATCCCAACAGCGCGGTCACTGGAGCAAGCCACAATCGTAGGCAAGGCCGCAACCTTCGTACGGTGTATGCGAGATGTAACCAAGAAAAGGATAATAAATAATATATAATAACTGGGAACTTAGATATATACATAAATAGATAATAAAAACCCGGACAAAGAACAAACAAGCATGTTCATCACACGAACGTCTGCCCGATGTGGGAATCGAACCCACGACCCTCGGCGCGACAGTCAGGACCTATAACTACTGCACTACCGATTCAGTTAGGATAATCGTGTTTTTTTTATTTTATTTTAGTGCTTAGATGGATGGACGAGCTCATAGCCCACCTGGTCTTAAGTGGTTACTGGAGCCCATAGACACCCACAGCGTAAATGCGCCACACACCTTGAAATATAGTTCTAAGGTCTCAGTATAGTCACAACGGCTTCCCTACTCTTCAGACCGAAACGCATTACTGCTTCACGGCAGAAATAGGCGGGGCGGTGGTACCTACCCGTGCGGACTCACAAGAGGTCCTTCCACCAGTAATTACGCGAATTATAATTTAGCGGGTTTGATTTTTATTGCACGATGTTATTCCTTCACCGTGGAAGTCAATCGTGAACATTTGTTAGGTACGTATTTCATTAGAAAAATTGGTACTCATCTGCGGGATTCGAACACCGGTGCATCGCTACACACGAATGCACCGGACGTCTTATCCTTTAGGCCACGACGACTTCAATATCTATGTATGTTTTTAGTATTCGGTTTTGGCGGGGAGTCGACATAATTAAAACTGCTTTTATGGTTTAACATCACGTTCGTTATTATCCTTGTGCTTATTTATCTCCAAAGCTACAAATACTTAACGGTTTGCGACAATTACAATGCGACAGGATCTATCAGGAAGCGACGGTCCTTAGTTTTACCTCCCGGGAGTATTTCTCGTGTTTACACATTTTTAAGCGGACTAAAACGTCTGATGGAATTTTACTTACAACGTGGTATCATAACTAGATTCATCTAAGAATGGACTTAGAATTATCTATACTTAATATTATAAAGAGGATTGATTAGATTGTTTGTTTGTATTGAATTGGCTCCGAAACTACTGAACCGATTTAAAAAAATCTTTCACTGTTGGCAAGCTATACTATCCCCGGGTGACATAGGCTATATTAATAAAATTATAATTAAAAAAATAATAGGGATCCTTACTGAAACTCCAATAATGTAACCCAATGTGTAAAAAAAAAATACCTAAAATATTCTTTAAATCGCGTGGGCTATTATGCAAACGAAGCCGGGGCGGGCCGCTAGTGGCCCATGCAACTGTACATATGTTCATCTATAATGCGTCTCTCTAAAGACATGTGAAAAAGCAATCCGGGCTCAATGTTAATAACACTGTGAGCTTAAGAAGGGCCCTTATTGTCAGCATTATATTTGATGATAGCACAGTGGGCTTAAATGCGCTATTTAAAGTATTTACGTAAAAAAATAAAAATGTTATTAAAATATTACATCCGGCATAATATCGTCCACAGATCGATCACATTCTAAATTTGTAGCAGATTGATTCCAAGTAAAAGATTAACTATTGGCTTAGTACAATTGATCTCGTACAGTGCGCCGGTCGGCCAACGACCCGTGCCCATATAAATTATTTATTAAAATAAACTCATAATATTTAGTGTTTATTTAGTTTATTTTAAGAATGACGAATTTATTCTGCCTTTTGGTATCGATGGGTATGTCTGCATTTATTTATGTGCTTTTAATTTCGTTTGCGAAGGTCAGGGCGGTTTTTTCCCTTATCGTGCTGCGTTAGGCGTGAATTTTATAGTAGGGGAGTCCACAATGTTAAATGGGGATTTAGTCGAGCGTCATTGAGACCTATTGGGTTGCAAAGCTCAGATGAAAAAATATTTGATGGCTGATTTGTCAATGAAATGCATTGTATTTTAACCCCATAAAGTCTCCGACATCGAAGTCTGGACACATTGTATAACATGAGTAATGAATTTTTGGAGTAAGGATTTTTTGAATGAGTTTTTGTGGCTCTGGTGTAATGTTTTTTTTATATATCTTTTATTGCTTAGATGGGTGGACGAGCTTACAGCCCACCTGGTGTTAAGTGGTTACCGGAACCCATTGACAACTACAACGTAAATACCGCCACCCACCTTAAGATATGAGTTCTAAGGTCTCAGTTTTTGATGTTGATTAAGACCTAGGATGTTTTTTGTTATGGTTACTATGACCAAGTTCCATCAAGCTCCTCGGTGGTTTTTCTCAGTGAATCACGTGTCCGATCCGGTGGTAGATTCAGCGAAGCACTGCTTTTGTTAGGGCTAGTGTTAGCAAATTCTCTCAGGTTGAGCCCGTGAGCCTTATTCTTTAGGCCACGACGGACTTACCTTCGAATTACTATTCGAAGTCCTAAGGTAAGGTAAGGTAAGTCCGAAGGCCTAATATCTACCGATATTAGGTATAAACTTGTCTTGAATGAGTAAGTTATTAGTAAATAGTGTAATTTGTACACCAAACTTAGATTTAGAACTCATGTCTCAAGATCGGTGGCGGCATTGACATCTTGATGTCCATGGTCTCCAGTAACCACTCGTTCATCGGTCTTTAGAATAAAAAGCCTAGCCTAATTAATGATGTTATTTAATTAGTCGTTTCGCTTTTCTTTCCAGGTGTAGCAGCAGTACTGTCCCAGCAGGCCATCGACTATTACCACGTGCTGCACCTTCCCCACCACCCCCCACTCCACCCTGTATACGACCACGCACCCCCCACTCGCTTCTCCTGCGCCGGACGACAGAAAGGATACTACGCTGATATAGACAGTGGATGTCAAGTAAATACTACCTACTAGACGATTTTTTTTGATAACGCTTTGCTCGGTTTTTTTTGACAACGCCATCTTGTTGTGTCTTTAAAGCGGTTAGTTGTAAAAATAGTATTATTATTGGTCAATAGATGTCGGGAAGAGTTGATTATTGAAAACACGAATAAAACAACATTTTCTGAAAATAAATCGTAGCTAGTTCGATTTATCGCCCCCTGTATACTAAATTTTATGAAACTCGTTGGAGCCGTTTCCGAGATTCAGATTATACAAGTATATATTAATATACAAGAAATGCTCGTTTAAAGGTATAAGATAAGGGCCGAGTCACACCGGAATGGCAGCGGCCGGCGGCGCCCTCCAGACTGCACGCGCCTAGTTTAGTTTCTTCATTCGGCAATGATACTCGTGTGTTTGGAGTGAATATGAAGCCTATAAAATCAAAGGCAGCTAAATCCAAGTCTGTCAAATATTCAGGTAAACTACAAAAATCAGCCCTAAACACGTCATTACGGATCCTCCCGATCCATCGAAGTACTGCTCTTGCTAGGACAAGTGTTAGAAACACTCTCGGTTTAAGAAGCTGAAATAACTTTGTTCGGATAGCTAAGATATTCTATATTTTAAAGCAGATTTATAAAGAATGAGAACATTACTAATAATCTGAATTTTAAATGATAAAACTTCGTTTATTAGTACCTTAGTACAGAGTAAAAATAAAATGTTTGAACTGAATTTGTTAGAGATTTAGCTGCATTTGTTATAACATGAAAACACTAAAGCGTGTACAACTAACCAAACAAGATAGCGCCATTGTTAATCCATTTTACGACATTAAGGCGTTTAGCTGCCTTTGATTTTATAGGCCTCATATGATGGAATTGGTTATTATATATGAGCGCGGTGTCGCCGCTGGCAGCCCCGGGTAGAACCACCGACAAGAGGCACGTGGCGCGCGGCTGTTCGCTTCACCGCGTCGAGCGACGGCTGTGTTGCGACCTTTGCTAGCTTTTCAAGCGATACTGAACTTTTAAGTATATAGATAAAGTTTAAAATTATTTCACACTGAAAGTGCTCGCCGCGACGCTGCCATTCCGGTGTGACTCGGCCCTTACGCGCTGGGGTTCGGGATAAATAAAAAAAATCTACCGAAGTACAAGTTAACACTGTATTAGCACTTAGAATACTGAAAACGCTTCACAAACACTTTAAAATTCTCAATTTGCTTCTTCCGCTTCGCTTCAGGTGATCCGTTCGCTGTTTCGCTTCGAGTAGTTCCGATTACTGACTGACTGCGTGCCATCTCTGAAACGCTGTTATAGTCGAGAAGAAATTCCTAGAATCGTCAAGAATATTCCACACAAGTCGAGTACTGTGTGTTTCCGCTATCTGACAATAGATGGCGTTGTACTTCTCGAGCATTATAGATGCTATTAGATATTCGTTCGACTATTCGACGATAGATGGCGTCGCCGATGAAAGGCGGTTTGATTAACGCGACATTTATCTTTATAATCAAAGGTCCGTTTTATTTGGTACCAGCATCAACAGTTCGATGTTTTTAATTGAACTTCTAATTAAGTTTACTCAATACGAATAGCTGAAGAAGATTAAATTTTTGGTTATAATATTTTTCTCCAAATTTTAAACTGTAAATGTTTCTATTGTAAAGTTGCAAAGATGTCGCTCAAATCAAATAATCTTTCACAACCACATAATATGTACATATCATAATAACATGTCGGAGACGGTCATTAGTTTGATAGCTAAACGAAACGCAGCACGATTCCCGAGAGATGGCAGCACGATCACGGTCTCGTCGGAACTCAGCTAACTTCGTGCTACGACAGAGGCCAGCCGATGGAAGCGCGTAAACGCCATTACACACTTACCAACCAGCCTTCTTGAAGAGCGGTGCTCTTCGCACGATAGTAGGAGCAGGGCATTACGTCAGAAATGCCGTAATCGCCCGGGATCTGGATGTGGAGTCACTCGAGGAGTTCATCCGGAGGCTAGCTCGTAATCTTTATGAGCGGGCTGACGGTGGACCCCACGAGCATCTCCACAATTTAGCTCCCTTGCACGCTAGACCACCTGATGGTCGGGCGCTACCAAGGGAGCTACTGGAACCCCCTTCTATGGTAAGATAGTCGGTTTAACCGGAGTGATATGGGAGTGCTCATAATGAGTGCCCCCACGGGACTGAGCTGTCCACACTCGTCATTTCCTCCCACATCGTTGGGGTGCCCCCCTATGGGGACCCATTTCCCACCCCCGTTGGGTGGACCACTCCCCCTTATGGGGAGTGATTATACGTCGGTCCCTCCCCGCGACGGTCTTCCCCTTCTGGGGAGCCCTTAGCGGGTGAGCGCCAAACTAGTGCCGCCGCCCCTCCTCTGGTTTGTAGAGGCGGGGCCGCGGCATGGGGCCGGTGGCTGGCCCCACGGTTGCTGACTGTTGTCCTGGCTTGTGTATATAGTAGATTAGTTAGTTTTTAATTAGTTTAGTTAGTTTTGTAGTTAGTTGTAAGGGAAAAAACGGCGCCGGGGTTCTCCTCCACGGGCATCGAACCGTCGCCAGACCAGCCCATCGTATTATGTTTATTTATATATCATTTTGTCGATGCTATACAGCCGTACACGCTGCGAACAGCGTACCTTCCCTAAGTCCTCCCTGCATCTACTTCACCCCTGCCCTAAATGGCAGGGAGCGTCTGCCCGGGCAATGGGGTTTGCTCCGAGGCTCGTTCCGTGCCCCCGTCAGGGGCTACGACGACCCCTCTTGCTTGCTTCTTCGGTGCCTCCGTCCTAAGAACTGTCATTCGTTTTCGTTTGCTAAGCGTCAAGAGATTTCTAAATTGTTCTAAGACAACAAATATGATTGGTGTACTCAATATTTCTCTTAGCTCGATCACCACATTCGGCCCTATGATGTCTGACTTTTTTTCCCTACCTATGCTGATAGCCTTGAGAGGCTATTTCAGCTTCGCCCTAACATGTAGGTGAGCTCACGGGGCTCAAACCGGAGTGTTGCTAACACTGACCCTAGCAAGAGCAGTGCTCAGTGGCGTAGCTAGGTAACCAAGGGCCCTGGGGCAAATTAAAAAATTGGGCCCCACTGCTATGTAAGCTGATTAGGTTTTATCAAATAAAAATATGAAATATTTTAAAAATGCTTAGCTACTTAACTCTTTTTTGTGCACTGCAGGGCAGGTAATAAAAATATTAAAGAGTAACAACATAAAATAAAATTAATACTTGGTGTAGGTTTGGCTAATAAAACGAAATAAAGAAGATTCAAGGGTTTATTATATAAAGGGCGGGTCCTTTTTTTTTTCGGGCTGGGGGCCGAACCTCCTACTAGGTCCTCGCGCTTAGGGTGCGCGTGGGGTATGTGGGACTGGTCCGCGACTGCGAAACTGCGGGTCCAAGTATGTTGTCAGGGCCCTACCGCACTAAGCAACTCCCCTGCACTCTTCACCCAAGCGTCCGATCCCCTCCGAGGTCAAAACCTGGATGAGGTAAAGGTTACCGCGGCGAACACTACAATCAGACAGCTCACCCCAAGGACGCCCGGCCGACGGAGCCTTCGAGGCTTAACTCGAATTCACAATAAAATGCACATCGTAGAATAATAAACCGCATATATCACTATCCGTCAAATTGACAACACTGCCAACCTACAGAAAGAATTTAGGGGAATTCCCTAGGCACAACTTTTGAATTTCTCTCAACTGAGTTGTCATGATTAAAGTGGGGTTGCAACCTGTCATATTTATTTTTAAAATAGGAGAAATTTCCAAAAGTTCAGTTCGATCGAGATTTCTGGTAAGGATTCGAGGGCCCTCTGAGCTTGAAGGCCCCAGGGCGCTGCCCCGCCTGGCCCCTAGGTAGCTACGTGCTTCGCAGAATCTGCCACTGGATCGGAAACGCGACCCACTGAGAAGTTATTCATCTAGTGACTAATGAATTGTAACTATTACTATTGTACTAAAAATAAAACATATCGCTTTTCAGGCCTATCACTTCTGCTGGCGGCAACGTCTGATCAGCACCGACTTGTGCTCAAAGGGGACGCTCTTCAACGAACAGTTTCAGGTAATAATCGTGAAATTTTAAGCTAGGCAAGTGAAGTTTGAAGTCGTCTTGGCCTAAAAGATAAGACGTCCGGTGCATTCGTATCTAGCGATGCATCGATGTTCGAATCCCGTATGCGGGAACCAATTTTTCTAATGAAATACGTACTTAAAAAATGTTCACGATTAACTTCCACGGTGCAGGAATAACATCGTCTAATAAAAATCAAACCTGCAAAATTATAATTTGCGTAGATAATTACTGGTGGTAAGGACCTCTTGTGAGTCCGCACGAGTAGGTACCACCACCCTGCCTATTTCTGCCTGGAAGCAGTAATGCGTTTCGGTTTGGAGGCTGGGGCAGCCGTTGTAACTATACTTGAAACATTAGAACTTATATCTCAAAAGGTGGGTGGCGCATTTACATTGTAGATGTCTATGGGCTCCAGTAAACACTTAAAATCGGATAGGCTGTGAGCTCGTCCACCCATCTAAGCAATAAAAAAAAGCTTTTGTTGTCTGTTCTAACGTTTAACGACCGTCTGGTGTAGTGGTAAGTGACATGGTCACTACACAAGGGGGTCGCGGGTTCGAATCCCGCCAAGGGAAGATATTTGTATGATAAATATAAATATAGTATAATAAAAATCTTACATTTATTTCCGTTATCCGGTACCTGTAACACAAGTTCTTTACGAACTTACCACGGGACCAGTTACCGTGGCGTGATTGTTAGTAAATATTTATATTTATTTATATTTATTTATTTATTTATGTTCTATTAAGTAATTTTGTTTTTAGGTCTGCGATCACTTCTACAACGTTCGCTGCGGTTCGCCCTATGAAGATCTTTAATCCGTGATTCAGTTTGTTTTAACGTAATATTATTTATAGCAACAATTAAATAATAAATATATATATATATATATACGTAAGTCGAAGTGTGTATATTTCCTATAGACTCAGAACGGCTGGACAGATTCCGTTGAAATTTTCAGGATATATTCAAATTGACCTAACCCAATTGACCATTGTGATGTTCCAAGAAAATAAAAACAAAAAACGGCTAGTAAATAAAACAAACACTTCTAATACAATGCTTTTGTTTATTCGCTAAAGTACATAAAATATAGTGATACAAATAAAAAAAATGAGTATTTATATTTTCAGTATTTTTAAGTTCATTTACAAAAAAACACGTCTTAAACGTAATAGAGATGTATAATTGAGTATTTTATTGTATTTTTTTCATAATATCAACAGAAAACAATGTTTAGTTGACAAGCTACTATTCAATAGTTTGGCATTAGTAAGTTGATGGGTCACAGCCCTAATCGAAAGCAAAGGCGTTGTCCGCTGTCCGCCTAATGTATAAAGTTTAGGAAAATAATATCTATATAAGTTTGAAAATTGACTAAAAATTATATCAATCTTTGTCCGCATTTAATTGCGATGTCATCATATTTCTGAATTATATGTTAATTGTAGTCTTTATCAGAAAGTTACTTTGAAATCAATTAGCATCGTGTGGTAGAATTTTTCAGTTATATATGTCATTCATAGTTTGCTATAATAAATGAGGTATCATGCACGAAGGTTGAAAAACCTTCCTGTTTTTCTTTCGAATCATTAGATATTCGATTTTGCGAACAGAACTTAACCCTAGAAATCTTAATTTGACAACTGTCACACGTATCATCCTTAGTTTAGTTACTATACTATATTTTTTTAAATGTGGAATTGATTTTTGTGTAAATCAGGCAGCGTGCTATTATTTAAGGGATTTTATGACCTGGTAACTTTAAGTCATGCCTTATTTTAATTTCTATTCATATTTTTATGATAAATGATATTATGGAGTGAAATGAAATGAAGATGATCAATTTGAGACATTAATCAACTGGGATGAAATTAAATGAAATGAAATGATATGATATGGGATGAAATATAATCTCAGTAAAATGGTGGTCATTTACTAAGATTTTTCAGTGGACTTTTTGGAGGATCCCGAGAAGTTACGTCCAGCGGCTTTGTTTTATTTTCCCACATTTGTGCACTTTCACAGATATTAAACAGTTAATAAAACACCATTATTACACATTTAAACCCGAAGAAACACTAAATAGACAAAATAAAACAAATCACACAACTTCCCTCCTCGCGTTCCCGCCAAAAAGTCCTCAGGCAGCGTGCGGGGTCAACGCCCCACAGTACCGTGTTACGCGGCCATCTTTGCTTTATTCTTAGAAAACTATTACATATTTATGTTATTTATTTTTGAGTCACCATTAATGTTGGCCATTTTTATATCAATTATTTGAAAGTGGACATAAAATAAACAGTGAGAATTGTTGATTTCCTTTAGTTGCGCTAGTTACTGGTTGCAAATATATTTGTTTTCAGAGTGAAAGTAAAATAAACAGTGGCAATTGTTGATTTTGTTTAATTCTAATCTTAGCGAATATATTTTTTTGCTGTGTACGTCATTGTAGTATTTAATTTTGAAGTTTTTCGAAAATAGTTCTCGTATCGATATTAAAAAAGTAAAAAATTATCTCTAAACCTAGATAACCTATATCCATTTAAGAAAATATTTATCTATGAAATCTCCGTATAATAAACAGAAAGTAATTTTGTTTTAAAGTACACGTCCCTAGACGTCGATACCCATAATACCCATAATCAAAATGCGCAAATAGTCGGTATTCCGACGCTCCGCACTTTATACTCATTAATAGAGAGTCGATCTATCGACGGTTCGCGCTGAAAGGGTTAAGTTACAAATGACCAGTATTGTAAAACGGCTACTGCATGGGTAAATACATATTATATTAATTTTTTCCTTCTTTACGATCCCAGGTTCAAATATCGTGCACTGCTCACGGTGTGTCTCCGAGACGACGTCCTGCGGGATTTTCCCGGGGATGGAGTGCCGTCCTATTAACAGGATGGGTACCGGCGACGGCGAGCCTTCGGCGCGCACTGTGCGGTACCGTGGGTTTCGTGGAGTCGGAGTGGTGGGGCTCGATGGGGTTTAGTCGGTAGTCAAGGCGTAGTCTCCTGTGAGAAATTGGGGGAGGTGAAGGACCTCGGCTCTTCTCTTCTCCCCTTCTTCCTCTCAGGAGGCGCCGGAGTCCGACATAACCCGGTCCGTTACCCCCCTCGACCGGGTATCCGTAAATGGATTCCCCAGCGTTAAAAAAAAAAAAAAAGGTTCAAATATCGTGAATTTCAACCATAATATGTTTGAATTCATTTGAGTATCTTTATATTAATACGTGAAGCAAAAACTTTGTATCCCTTTTTGCGAAAATTGCGCGGACGGAGAAGTATGAAATTTTCCACTTTATTGTCAAATTTTTGTTCTTGACGTCTCTGGTCAAATTGAGAATAGATTAAATATTGTTTGTCTTTATTAATATTTTTCTATAGTGTAGCCCGAAGTTTGTGATTATAGAAGTATAAAATACAATCATAATAGTGTAAAAACTTACAATTCGAATTAATTATAGTCGAATTTCGGCTACTGCGGGACCTCTAGTTATAAATAATAGGCAGTGAATTTGTAGCGTCGATATGTTTAAACAAAAAGGAACCAGGAAGATGCAGTTAAATATTATTTCTACCTACATATTTTAAAATTAATCAAGTATGTTCAAATGTGACAATGCGAGCGCATCCTCTCACGAGTCAATATTGTTACGCTGATCTCCTACTGAATGAAGTGATTTATATGAATTGTCGCTTGGTAATTTATTGGTATTTAAAATGACTTCGGTGTTAATACGAACGTTTGGTCGGTTGAGCGCGAAATTTTTGAAATTTTTTTATCGAAGTATTAATGTAGATATCTATAATAAAGATAATATGGTTTGTCTGTTTATTTGCCTTATACACACAAAAATGCCTTAAAAGTTGATATCATGTGTCAGTTTTCAGTGAATGAAAACGATCGCTTCTAGTGACAAGACCTTTTATTGTACAATGCTAATGTTACTTTTTAACCTACTTCAAAAAAGGAGGAGTTTCTCAATTCGACTGTGTTTTTTTTTAATGTTTGTTACCTCATAACTTTTGACTGGGTAAATCGATTTTGATGATTCATTGTTTAATTAGAAAGCTGACGCTTCCGGTGTGGTCCCCTAGTTTTGTGACGTCAGCACTAGTATAACACGCGCAGCGACTGAAACTGGAATGAACCAGTTTACGCCGGCTGTATCACGTGACTCGCTTTCTCTTACGAGTCAATTTTCTTACCCTGATCTCTTAATGAATTAAGTGATTTATATGAATTGTCGTATGGTAATTTATTGGTATTTAAAATGACTTCGGTGTTAATACGAACGTTTGGTCGGTTGAGCGCGAAAATTTTTTAATCAAGGATTAGTGTCGGTATCTATAATAAAGATATAGTTTATCTGTTTATTTGCCTTATAACACACAAAAATGCCTTAAAAGCTGACTGATATCATGTGTCAGTTTTTGTGTCATTCTTGACGAATAAAAACTAAATTGGTTCCTTGCTGTACTCAGTAGACTCTGCGTCCGCTTTGATTAAATTCCAACACAGACGCTACAACGACTAATTAATACAATACCATACAATCTGTTACTTCTGACTGCTTCTTCAGAATTCCTCTGAATGAAAACGATCGCTTCTAGCGACAATACCTCCTGTTGTACAATGCTAATGTTACCTTTTAACCGACTTCAAAAAAGGAGGAGGTTCTCAATTCGACTGTATGTTTTTTTTATGTTTGTTACCTCATAACTTTTGGCTGGGTGAATCGATTTTGATGATTCTTTTTTTATTAGAAAGCTCATGTTTCCCGTGTGGTCCCATTTCAATGTTGTCTAGTTCTGATAACGGTATCCATGAGAAAACCATATAAGTCTTAAATTTGCATTATGTACGTGCGCGACAAATAGATGAATAACTCAATAACTCAATATCACGCCAACCGATTTCGATGATTATTGTTTTTGGTGTATATTAATTTGTTTTGGAGTATTTTTTTTTTCTAAGTCGGTTTTTGTCAGAACATGTCTGTATTTACAATTATTCGTGCGTAAGTTTTCCTTCTTTCTATCTCTCCGTTCTCCCTCTCTCTCTTTCTCTAGTTCAAAAGAACAACTTATATATTAGTAAGCTAACCAAGGCCAGACTCCGCTCCGGTCGGGAGCATCCGCTCAGAGTTTGAACTATCTCGTTGTCTCTGTTGACGCGTGACATTTCGTCGAGGATCCGCTTCTCCTCGAGAGCGAGGGTGGTCGCGGCGTTGACGGTCTGCATCAGCTGGTAGTTGCTGAGTTGGGGCTGGGGCAGGCGGAGCTCCAGCCTGCCGTCGGTCAGGGAGTAGGCCGTGCCGCGGTGGAGGTTCCGGGCCTCTGTGGACCATGGGCCGCTATAATCCTTCGATCTTATCTTTTAGGGGAAAACAGCTTTTTGCAGATTGACATACGTAGGTACTGTTCTCGGACTGTTTACCAGGTATGCCCGTGCACATATAATATTTGTACCATACGATTTATACCATACGATTTATACCATACGATTTGGACTATCATATATTTCTCATACGATTTATAGCTATATAGCATATATAGATGATTTGCATTTTTTTATTTATTGCTTAGAGGAGTGGACGAGCTCACAGACCACCTGGTTTTAAGTGGTTGCTGGAGCCCATAGACATCTACAACGTTAACGCGCCACCCACCTTGAGATATAAGTTCTAAGGTCTCTTAACATCAGGTGGGCTGTCAGTTCGTCCACCCATCTAAGCAATTAAAAAAAACCACTATTCAAGGGGTTTGGATGATACTCACCGTCGCCCAGTTTCAAGGTTTTCAAAGCCTCCTGAAGTAAGGGATCGTTGACCATCCTGTTGTAGCGGTCTGTGAAGTCCTTGAAGGTCCTGTCGTCGATTCCGCAGTGACCTCGGAAGTCGTCCGTGTCTATACTCCAGACCATGAGACCGCCTAAGTTATTATCTACGGCGAACCTGAGGAATAACGGTTTTTAGTAGAGATGAAACAGATATCCGGTAACAATCCGGTATCCGGCCGGATTTCGGATAGTAAAATTTAAGAAAATCTCATGGTTATACAAAAAACAAATAATATGTACCACAACTTTTATTTTTATAATCGCACGTCAAAAGTGATTGTTTTATTAATTAGTTTGTTTAATACTCAAAATTAAAAAGTGGCAAATTGTGGTGAATGAATACCAAATCGTCGTCGCGATCTCTGCTACGTGGGACAACATCCGAACGCGCACGAATATCTCCGAAAGAGCCTGAATATTCGGTATCCGGTATCCGGCTAAACCACTATACGTTTCATCTCTAGTTTTTACTGTTTAACCGGATGTACGAGCTCACAGACCGCCCGGTGTTAAGCGTTTACCAGAGCCCTTGGACAGCAGCAACCTAAAAATGCTTTTGTAAGTCACAGATGGATAATACTATGGTCTGTTCTTGAAGTAAGAAATTAAATAGACATGAAAAGCGTGTCAGATGTAAGCACAATCAGGCATTGTGTTAATGGTTTTATTTTTTTATTTTTTCTTATTAGATATAAAGAGAAAAACAGACCGTATTAAACATTTCCACTAGACAGGAACTATGTTCATATAAATAACTAGTTTAACCACATATATGTATGAACTTATATCGTCTTTTCGCATTTAAAGTGTACAATTTCCAAAAATATTCGAAATTGAGTTAATATGCGGAATCATTTGGTATCACCAGTATTTTTCTCATAAATACTGTCAAAAGAGGGTAGTTGAGTTTTTCTTTTTTTTTTTTTAGTTTACCTGTTTTGACTGCTATTAACAAAATCAATACATAATTTTATCCTCCTTTAAAGATAGATAATGTAACTGGTAAAAAATAAAAAAATAAATGTTGCAAAGATGATTAATATTGAAAATATCACACGTTAAACCTTTAAAACACTCTCCTGTAAAATTAGTAAGTTTTGAGATTATACAGTTTTAATGCGAGAGGACGATATATGTTTGAATTAATAGCGTCCAGAGAGAGAGCGAAAAAAGTTATTATCCGATGTGGGAATAGAAGCCATGATCTTCGACAGTCTAGGCCACTAACTGCTGCGTCATCTGGTTAATCAGCTAACAAAGAATTAGATGAAAACAGTACTGACTTCACTTTAGCTGCTATAGCTCTGGGATCATCGTAGGAGATGACTCTGGCTCCATCGCGTAGGTATGCTGTGGCGCTCCCCTCGTGCCAGTGGTACTCCCACGGCGATGATTTATTCGAAACCTCTGCGCAGATCTGGAAAAGAGAAAAACTTCTCAGATTAATTTGTCATACGAGGCTGTTCTTATCACAGGCCCTTGCATAGCCCGAGTGGTATGATCTGTGCTACGACCACAGATTAACATTAGAGGGACTTTTTGGCGGGAACGCGAGGAGTGAAGTTGTGTGATTTGTTTTATTTTGTCTATTTAGTGTTTCTTCAGGTTTAATTGTGTAATAACGGTGGTTTATTAACTGTTTAGTATATACTAAATATCACACAAATATTTCACATATTATTATGTGAAAGTGCACAAATGTGGGAAAATGAAATAAAGCCGCTTGACGTAACTTCTCGGGATCCTCCAAAAAGTCCACTGAAAAAATCTCAGTAAATGACCACCATTTTACTGAGATTATATTTCATCCCATATCATCTCATCTCATCTCATTTCATTTCATTTCATCCCAGTTGATTAATGTCTCAAATCAATCATCTTCATTTCACTCCATATTATCATTTTTCATAAAAATAAGAATGTAAATTAAAATAAGACATGACCTTAGTTACCAGGTCATACAAACCCTTAAAAAAAATTAACATTTTGGTCAGTCCATTTATCACAATATGGGCGAAATACTCCTTCCATAAAGGAATAAATAAATTGTTGACTGTGAAGAAATAATGACATCGTATAGGGTAATCACTGATTAATTTTCGCGCCCCTCAAATCGAAATTGGTACCTACCAATAATTTAGCTATTTCCGTTTCGATTTGATACCCACCGATTGTTACCTGTCCTGTTCTGTCCTGGTCCTGTCCTGGTCCTGTCCTGTCCTGTCCTGGTCCTGTCCTGTCCTGGTCCTGTCCTGTCCTG